TGTTAAAATCTGTTAGTGCACAATTTATTAACAGTTACCACACTATACCACATCTTATATTATTATGACAAAGGTTGTATCAAAACAAAACTTCTATGTTTAGTAAACTATAAGATTTAAGTGTTTAATGTCTTTATTGAATTATATATAATACATGCCAAATCCAGACCAAAACATGCAGAAATTAACCACTTAATCTTTCAAGCCACTGGATGGCGCCAAATCATTGTAACTTTATCTAAAAAAATGATTTGCCTGACATATCCTTAAGTGCCACTTGATGGCATCAAAAAGCCACTCAAACATCCTACTACCTGCAGGATGGTAATTCATACTTTCTTTATCGTGTCTTTTTACCAAAAAAATGTGTTTACTCTCCAGGCAAACAAGTTGCCTCACACTTTGAGAAATACTTATTTTTCCTGCCAGTTTGATGTAACTGTTGTTTTTGTTTCTTAACAATCTGCATCCCTCTCATTTTCTAAGACTTTGGAAGCACTTCAGTGAATCACCTGCCACTTTGTTTGTTCTGAATTAGGCACGTTGACATGACACAAATAGTTTTGTGAAAACAGTTTTCTAATCATTAACCAGTAAAAACTCAGTTCATTGATATACTACAAGTTGTGAGACCCATTTCTGAGATCAGGAAGAAAAAAACATCGTACAAAAAACGCAAGTCTTCTAAGGAAGGCTTATCTTTAGTCATGCACAAAACCATAAGATAGCTCACTTGAAGTTTACCACATGCTCTTGGGAGACAGAAAACATAAAAAGAGAAAGTAATCCAGACAAATGAGACCAGAATTAAACTTTTTTGGGGGCTCTGGAACACAAAATAATATTGCAGTAACTCAACACTGCACATCATCTCCATCAGTGCACCATCAGAGCAGTGAAACATGGTGACAACATCCTGCTGTTTGGGTTCTATTCATCAGTAGGTACCCGGAAACCTGTCAGCTTTAAAGGCATAATGTATGGAGCAAAATTGATTGAAAATATATAACTATTTATTCCAAGGGAAAATAAATTGCATTTAAGTGTAGTTTTCAATATTCTAAAAATTATTAAATAACCTTATGCTAGGGGAGAAGCACAATCGTTTATTAGGACATTTATAAGAACTGCCTAAAATGTAATCAACACAATAACAAAATTATCTTCATACCATAAATAAATCACTTAATATTAAAGTGTTTCAAGTGGGATACTGTAACAGCAGAGAGGAGGTAATCTCAGTTTCACACTCTAAGATGTACCGGTACTGAACCTGGAATTTGGATTTATAAGACATTTAATTATATGAAGAATTAAATATGATTACATTTTCTGCAGTATGCTACACTGCATTGGGTGAAAAGGACATAAAGGAGTGGCATGGGGTGTCAGAGAGGGGCACAGGGACAGAGGGAGAGCAGTGATGGCATACCTCCAGCCTTATATAGGGACTGTTTGTCTGGAGGGCTCAGTTGCTCCCCTAGGGAATGTCCAGGAATAGAAAGAGGCATTAGTAAAGAAGGTGTAAAAAACAAGAAGAAGAAGAAGAAGAAGAGAGTGAAACAAATTATATTTTTTTTAAAAGTGTAAGCAGTTTCATGTTCATCCTTCTTCTGAAAACCAAATCATCTCACTCTTCCACAACTTTCTCTTTCCCCTACGTGTAGAAGGAGGTTCTTCTGTCAGATCCTTGAGGTGGGCAGAGCATCAGCTGCTGCTGTCAGTCAAGACACCAAACAGGCACTCAATGAAGTTGGTGACATAAGTTGGACGGCATGAAAGCTGAACTCACACTGTGGCCCGCTGGAGACGGCCGGGTAGAGGACTGGGAGGGGTGAGAGCAGGTTAAGATGGAAAGGGGAGATGTCGGGGCTCAAGACAAGAAGAATAGCACGCGGGTGATGAAAGGAGGAGTTTTGTCCAATGGGAGAAAAGCAGTGGAGAAATCGTGATGGGTGTGATGGCTAGACAAGCGAAAGGGAGAGAGGAGATGGTACAGATAGCATGTACCAACAACTGTTTGGTACGCAATCATGCTGCATTAAATAAAATGCCTAGCTGTAGTGGTTATGTTGCACAACCCATGTACCGAGGCTGTAGTCCTCGTAGCAGCGGCCGTGGGTTTGAATCCAACCTTGGCCCATTGCTAAATGTCACCCCCCCACTCTCTCTTTTCAACATTTCCTGTCTCTCTTCAGCTGTATTATCCTTGAAGGCAAAAAAAAAAAAGGAAAAGCCTCTTATCATCTTTTTTACATTACATATTATTCTTGATCTGAACAGGACATTTTTAACTTTACATGTTATATTTAGTTGATATTACAGCTGCTTCATTACCTCAATAAGGCTTGATTCAAAGATATTTTGTCCAACTAAAGTGATTTTTTTATCTGCAATAGAGCTGAATGAGAGGGAGACTGCTATCTGAGAATATTACTGTATTTTTTTAACATGATAAAATGATTTGAGTCCCAGCAAAGCTTTTAACAACCCTAAAAGAAGTATTACTGCGGGCGTTTGAGTCTAATGCTAATACCAGCATGCTAACATGTTTCTGTATCCATGCAGTTCCTGTTTTCCAACAAAAAAAACATCCTTTCCAAGTGTGAGTGTTATGAGAAGAGAAAACTTGGACTGGAAAGAAAACAGTTTATATTCTGTTTCCCTTCTTTTAAAAATGAACATATATGGCTATTCAGGTGGTGTATGATGGAAAATTATATCCAAATTAAAACATTTTAACGTCATCCAAAATAATCATTGTAATCAAAAAATTAATGGTAGTTTTATTTTGTGCCTAAATCACACCAAAGCATTGTCAATCATGTGACTGACTTGTTTTTCTAACAGTGATTTGTGATAGCTTTGGACATCCTGAGATCAGATCAGAAAGACCTTGGAAGTGTCACTTTAAAAGTATGTGAACAAACTGTGTATTTGGTTGTATTATTTAGATGCACTCCATTTGTTGTTTCCATAGACTATTAATGGACGGAGCCTGAGTGTCATCACCCATCTGTTACTGCAGGGGGCTTTGGAGTGTTCATCGATGGTGGTCGCCATGCTGGTAATCCTGTCCCAGCCTAACTTTCAGTCAACCTAACGATGGGCTGAAAGCTGGAGCTGAGGCGGGTTTTAAGCCTCTTGACAAACCATTACATTTTGGCCACCTGTCAATCAGGTCAGCCACACGCCTTATTGTTAATAACGCTCATCCTTCATAAAATCAAAACAGATGAGTTATCAAAAAATGCAACCCTGTACAGTGTGTTATAATTGAGACATTAGCTAATCAGACCTTATTTTGTTTTTGTACCAGGCTGTAAACATGTAAAAACAAGCTTTTTTAAATGGGGTGTGTATGACTTCCGGTGCATCTGCAGCCAGCCTCATGCGGACACTCAACTAACTGAATGACTTTGCATGGCTTCCTTTTTTCAAACACGGAGGTTTCAACTTGGTTGTATAATTTCCTATTTCTTTGTTTAAGGGGAAAAAAAACATTTTTTTCTCCAATAGCTAGGTGTTTGTTCTGCAGTCTGATTCTGCCTTTCCGCTGTTAACAGGCGGGCATGGTGCAAGAAAGCCCAAGCCACCCAAGCCCATCCAGAATGAGGAGTGATCAAACACAGCTCTCTAGCATTTAAAGCTAGAGACGCAGAAACCTCCTGTTCTATATATATAGAATATAGAAATAATCTATCTGGTTGCTGATGGTCTCCTTTGCTTATGTCATATGCAAGCTTTAGTATTCATTCCAGGAAGTTTTACAGCCAGCAAAAAAAATCTACAACAAAGCTTTAAAGGGCGCTGAAAAGAAAAGTATTGAACAAACAAATTAAAGTTGATTTTCAAAAACAAAAAACAGCCTTTGGCAAATTATTCTAAGTAAGCCAAATGACTAAGCCTGCTATATCGGCCTTGGTTTTGAAACTGGTCTCGAGACTTCATTTTGAAGTTCTTGTCTCGGAATCGACAGAATTTTTACTCGGTCTTGTCTCTGTCTCAGGCTGGGCGGATTCAGGATTTTAAATCAAGATAGACTGTATTTTGATATCATTACTGTGAGTAGAAGGAAATGCCCCTTCTAAAAGAAGAAATAACGTCAATTCCTTCAGAATTTTTGTCCCTTGGTTACGGCCACAACCTTGCCAGTGTTACGGTCTAAGTGAGTGACACGCCCACTGCACACAAGTTGAGGATTTTTCTGTGATATTTATGGTCTTGGTCTTGGCTCAGTCTCGCACTGCCTTGGTCTTGGTCTTGGTCTTGATCTGGTCTTGAGCCCTAAATGTCTTGGAGCACTCCGGTCTTATATGTCTTGGTCTCCAATTTATCAATTAAGATTTAATGAGATCCTGCATCATGTTTAACCTATGAACCATAAGTTACAGCTTCACTTTGGCTCTTTATTATAAAGGTTGACTTACCTATTCTTGGTTACCAATTTGTAGCTATATGGGTGTTTTGTTTGTTTTCTTGTTGAGGGAAGTGAGAAAGTGGTTAAAGATGGGACACAGCTGTGTCAGATCACCAGTGTATTCGCACACCTCTTAAGTTACAGATGTCATAAGTGCAAGGGCAAGTCAGCTGCAGTGAGGACAGGGAGACAGGCAGATAGATGGCTAATCGACACTGTGAATCTGTGCATGCAGGGAGGTGCTAATCGGTGTGTGTGAGTTCTAGTATGAGATGTGTGTGAGCATGCATGCGCTCTGGTTCTTGTCCAGTACGTGAAATCAAGTGTCTGCACTGAAATGCCTAGTTGATCCTCTGCCAAAATAACCTCCAGCCATGTGTTTTCTTTTTTTTTTTTTTGGACAAATGTCACTGAGCTTGTCTGTTCTCTAAATATGGGTGATTAGACAGTGTGCCAAACAAGGGGATGTCCATCAGGACATTGTGAGAGGGCACACACTAAAGTTGGCTTTGATTGGCTGCCTCTTGTCCAATCCTCATCATTTTCAGTAAAAGCCAGGCAGGATGAGAGGGTACATATGGGGGAGCACAGACGCAGTGCTACCTGGACTTTATAGCAGGGACTTTATTTCTTAGACGTTTGTCATTTCTCCTGGTGTCTGTCGTTCAGCACAGCCGGCCAACATGGTAAGAAACTGAAAACAGAGACGGAGGTTTAAGGGAAACAACATCTTCAGAAAACGAGTTTTGATTTTATCTTTGAGGATTTGCTTTTGTTTTATCGTGAGGATAAAAACCAGAAGATGGATTCATTATTATTTGAAGGATAAACTAACTCATTCTGCTCAGCCGAGGTCACCCAGCAAGTTCTCATCTGTAGCACAGCTGGATTATCAGATGGACTCTTTAAAGTAGTGTTTTATCTCTTGGAAACATTTTTTCTTTTTTTGTGAAAACTTGGGAAAATCTATACTATTTTTCCTTTTTGATTTCTGCTAACTATTATAACTCTTCTTTGCTGTTTGTTAACAGCCTGGAAAGCTTTCACGCTGCCTTTGTGCTCCATCACTTTGTAACTTTAAACTTAATAACATTAATATTAAGATTGAAGGGAGCGACACTAAAGATAGAAAGCACACAGCTGAGTAAAGTGAGACCACATTCTGCCTTTCCTGAATGTCCTAAGTTTGGAAATTAACCTTGAGAAAATCCCTTTCAAATCCTCTCCCAAGTCTCACCTTAAAAATAGCTCTGAAGTGAACTAATGAGTGGAACGAATGGAAGAGCTTCCATACGTCACCATATTGGCATTGTTTGGTCCGGCTGCCTTACATATCATGGAACAGGGGGTCTATATGATAACGATATGGGAATATTATTGGCTTCAAGTGCTCTGTCATTGTGCTTTGCTAACTTCTTGTTGGAGAGAGCCTATTGGTGTTTGCTGTTTCAAACAGAAATATGAAAACGCAGATTAGATTGAACTTTATCCCCAAGGAAACATGACACAAAAAGGGAAAGTTGCATAATTAAGGAAAAATATGTGTTGGATTGTCGTTGTGTTATCATCTGACAAAATGTCTACATAGAGATGCTAACTAGAAAGGAAAACATTGTTGGATCAGATTGGAACAGCATTTATGTGAAGTCCAAAGCTTTAAAAACTCCTGATGTTTTTGTGCTAATACAAAGTTGTACATGTGGGGAAAACCTGCTTTTGTTGTGCGCCCCTTCATGAGCTGCCATTTCCACAAGAGCCAATCTGATTTATCGGCCGGCCGATAATATATTAGCATATCCAGAGACTAGCGATATCGGCTCATTTTAACGCAGAGATGCACTGATATTACTAGATTTATTCACCAGTTAAATAGCATTTCATTTGAGTATCATTGAATTACACTAGCAGTTCTCTTACTGGCTGTCACCAGCAGAAGGCGCTATATGGATCACAACAAGCATTGTCACTCTCCAGAGCGACCATCTTGTCTTCATTATATATCTTTTCCACAAGTGTTTGCTAACTGCATTAGAGGGATCAAGGCAAAACAGTTATATTTCTATATCTATCTATACCGATCAAAGATAGATCTAAGAAAGATATCAGCCAATGTATCTGAATTGGATTATTCTCTTCCAAATAATGATATCGGTATCGGCCCCTAAATTTCATATCGGTCGGAGCCTAATTTCCACTTAAGATAAAGACTCTTGTTTTACCAGTCATCAGGGTATTTTCCAGTCTTTGGCTGTCTCTTCATTAATGAAAGTTCTGGTTTGGCTTTGGGTTTCTGTTTTGGTTTTGTCTGGCTCTGTGGAGAAGCTGAGCTTGAGTATGAGTATTGAGTAACTCGAGCATACGAGTGAAGGAGAGGCAGTTTATGAGATACTTGTGTGTTAGTGTGTCAGCAGTAGCCGAATGTGTTTGTGTGTGATGGTGTGAATGTTAAAAATGCTATTCACACTTTGAACTGCAGTCATCATCACTGGTCAACTCCTGTTCTGTTAATGTGGCCATCACTTACACCTTAAGTGACATTATTTTGTGGTTGAAGGTGAATATATCTGGAAATAGTAACCTTTCTTTTTGTCAACCTCCGTCCTCTAAACCTTTTTCTTTTTCACCTCTTTAAAGCCCACTGACGCACAAAGCGATGCCCGCTCCTTCCTGACTGAGGAGATGATTGCAGGTCAGTTTCCTCCACTGCTTTTCATCACGACCTCCTGCAGTTTGTAATAAAACAAATTGAATCTGTCATTTGTGCTTCAGAAGCAGCTGAAAATGGTATAATGCAAAAGAGTTCTCGTATTGAAGATTTGTTCTCATTTAAACGGTTTCCTTCTCTTGTCTAGAGTTCAAAGCCGCCTTCGACATGTTTGACACAGACGGCGGCGGTGACATCAGCACCAAGGAGTTGGGTCAAGTGATGAGGATGCTGGGTCAGAACCCATCAAGAGAGGAGCTGGATGCCATCATTGAGGAGGTGGATGAGGATGGTGAGATCATTATCATTATGAAACAAGATGTTAAATCATTAAAGGCTGTTTGATGAAGTCAAGATAGTTTTTTAGGAGTTTCACTTCTATCACTTCTCTCTTTTACTCCTCCCCTCCTCAGGCAGTGGTACTATCGACTTTGAGGAGTTCTTGGTCATGATGGTGCAGCAGCTAAAGGAGGACCAGGCTGGAAAGAGCGAAGAAGAGCTTTCGGAGTGTTTCCGCATTTTTGACAAGTATGTTCGTACAAAACTGCCAGAGAGACAAATACAAACGCCACTGTTGTTAAGATTTAAATGCTGCGCTGGACTTTAATGCTAGGCCTGTGTTTATGTCCATTAACCAATCTTTATTTATCAATATCTGATACTAAATCCAGTCTTTGCATTTGATACTTACTTGTTCACATTTATGTGATTAATTTGTTGGAGCGAGTAATTCTTCTGCTTTAACCTGAAATAACAGTTTTAGCCACTCAGAGGCAGCAGATTCAAAAGAAAACTGACCCTCAGTACTCCCACATGCTCACAACTCACTCCCAGCTAAATGAAGCACCCTCATTCAGAAGTCAGCTAAAAATAAGTGTGAGCTAGGGGACAAGTGTCCCTCCCTGCAGAGAGAACAATACTTGTTCCTTTTTGTAGCCATGGTTTCATATCACAGTTCTAATAATAGAATACTTACAGTATCCATGAGGTGGCAGACTCACTGTGACACTCCACAGCAGGCACAGCTTTGACAAAGAAGCTCCATCCGCTTTTTGTTTTGGTGTTTAAAGCAGTTTTTTCTTTGCACAAGTCCCTGTAAAAAACACTTTATTATTAAATGAACACACCTACTCTTTTGTCAACAAAGGATGGGGATATTATCCTGTAACTTTTGAGTTGTTAACATCTCTAGAAAAATGATAAATGCCCATGGTAGTTTGAGGACTTTACATTTGTGTGGATTAGTTGGTCAGTACTTTATCTGCCTTTACAAACACGATATAGCATTGCACATAATCAGTGGCATTTAATGAGGCACTTGAGCTTGCAAAGAAGACTGGAAATGGTTTGATAAAATCCTGTCTGTCTGCTATTTGGGGTTCCTCAGGTAGTGTGAATTGGACTTTAAGACTTTTGAAATAATGCAATGAGGGTGCTGAGTGTGATAATTAGCCAAAATACTCAAGTCGTTTGCCAGTCAGCTGAAATGAACAATAAAGCTCTCTTTTGCTAAAAGCTGCAGATTTAGTTGATTACTTTCAATATGATACATCGTGTTACACTTTTTTAAAGATGATATTTTGGGTATTTGTATGCCTTTATTGTGGAGGATAGGACATAGGACAGAGCAGGAAATCGAATGAGAGCATGGGGAAGGCATGTGGCAAAGTGCAGAGAGTCGGAGTTGAACCTGGGCCACTCCAGGACTGAAGCCCTCTGGACATGGGGTGAACAATTATAACCACTAGGCTATCCAGCACCCACATTGTGAAAAACAAATATAACCACTTCAATCACTGCTCATAGCAACATATCTAACTCAGGAACTTGGAGGGAAAAAAATAGCTAAAGGAGAGTAAATATGTTACTACATTCACTAATTGGCTCTTTTTCTCTTGGATGACCTAACCTGAGAAGTGTTTGACCAAATATTTACCATGGCATCTTTTCCAAAGTGATGCATGATAAGATAAGATAAGATAATCCTTTATTGATCCCCAGTGGGGAAATTCAAGTGCTGCAGCAGTAAAAGACAACAGGAAGAACGTGCATATGAGTATTAATAAAATTTGAATATAGGAGTAAATAAAAATAAAGATAAGGTACTATGTATTTACAACCATTATAAGCAAGATGTATGTCAGTGATTAAGAAGACAAGTGTTTGCCTGAAACTGTTCATCAGTACTATTCTTATTTAGAATTAAACTACCTGTAAATCATGGAGGCTATAATATGTATATTGTCTGATACTGACATTAATCTTAAGTACAGAAATGCTAAAGGAAAGATATTGGTCGTTTAGAAACTCTGACACCATGACAGAATTTTTACACAGTGAATATAATAATATAATAATTCAATTCCCAGGAACGGAGATGGTTTCGTTGACCGGGAGGAGTTTGGAGATATTCTTCATCTCACTGGAGAACCGGTGGTAGAGGAAGATATTGATGAGATGTTCGGGGAAGCAGACAACAACAAAGATGGAAAGATTGATTTTGACGGTAAGAAAAGACGACACATAGTTCAAGAGGAGATTCTGACAACTGTGGGCTATGCAGAGGTTCCAAATGTGTTTTATATTATCAGGAGGAAATAAAATAAAAATGTGTATGAACAGAAAAAGGAGGAAATATTTAAATTATTGAGTGTTTTTTTTTAATTACAGAGTTGCTGAAGTAAAAAAATAATATCGTCTCAGCTGCCTTAAAACTCTCTTGGCCAGTTCATTGTGTGAAAGCTATTTTGATCTCAATGCATAAAAAACCTGGTTATATAAAGGTCAAATAAATAAAATAGTAGTTATCATTTCAAATTAAACTGACAACAAACTAGAAGTACACAAGACAAGCCAGTGATGTTTTTCAGCACAATTATGGCCTGCCACGGTTTTAAAAGTTAAACAAGAACGGAGAAACGTGACAACGAGGTCTCGAAACTGGACTTTAAATTTGCCAGCTTTAAATTAAAAAAAAACAAGGATGTTCTGCACTCCTTTTTTACAAGTTAGTGAATACAATGTTGTTCAGTTGCCTGTTATTAGAGGGTTTGTGGGTGTGTTGGGTTTAACTCCGTTAATAACTAAAAAAAACACCAGTTTCCTAATAAAATATGGATTTGAAGAAGACGAAAGGATGACAGTCACAGCATGTACACTTGGACATGATGGCTTGGTCGGTTGGTTGATTAATCGACTGTTACTCATCTCTTCTTTTTTCCAGAGTTTCTGAAGATGATGGAGAACGTCCAGTAATGACACCACCTCTACATTCCCTAATGAACCGTCTTCAGAGAGAATCCTCTCAATGCAAGAGGCCCTGTACAAACAACCTGTGATGCAGCTACTGACACGTCAAAAAAGATACAAGTATAGAAATAGTTCCCCCCCCCCCCAACACTGCCCCCTTCTCATATGAAACCCTGAAGCCGGGTGGGGATATCTATAAATATCCGTTCAAACCTTTTAAGACGAAGGCACTTTCCCCAGACCGCCTCCTTGAGCAAAGCAGCCAGCTGTCCTCTTGGCAGCTGCTGTTTCTCCAGAAATGCAACACCACCTATAGCTCTTACCCACACCTTCCTCTTCCTAGACCGACCCCTCCTCTAAAGAACTTGATATCTTTTACACCTTGTTCTGTGCTTTACAAATAAATCCGCTTTCTCCTGTATCTTGACCTGTCTTATCTCGTCTGATTTTTCGTTGCTTCGGCTCATCTTTTGGTGGCCTTCTCTGGGACTTTTGGATTACCACTTTCACACTGACATATAAGAAACAAAATCCTCCCTGACACACAAACAAACACATTTCTGACCTCCCTGTCCCGAGCCAGCTAGCCTCCATGTTGAACTAGATAGCACTATTTACCAACCTCCCTATTTCATTTAATCCTAGAAAACTGCAGTAATCAAGGAAATGATCAGATATCCAGTTCAAAATGATCTCTTCCAATTGTCTCTCTCCTAAGTACTGATCACTGATCTTCTTGCAGTCACCTCCCAGCACAGGAATCAATTCCCCCAAGCATGAGAGGCAAAGCCACACAGCCAGTCAGTATAAGAGGCTTGAGGCAGTTGCAAAGCAGTTGAGTTAAATCAGTCTTTGGGTATATAGCCTGCAAGCCCCCTACAACTTCTCAAAAAGCCACATCCCTCCCCTCTCTCCAGGGTTGCTCTCTTCCTCAGCATCCTATCCTCCTCTCCTGTCTCTTCTGTCTCTCCCATCGGGCCCTCCCTCCAGGAACCTCCATCCAAATAAGGAGCATCAGGTCGTGTTTAGGGCACCAAGACGTGAGGGTTCTTACCTCAAGTCCCTGCCCTCTCTCAGTCTTAAATCTGCCTGCTATTCAGGGCATGTAGGCAAAGGGAGCAAGGCTGGGGGGATGGTGGAATGGGGTCCGGGTTTTAAGTTTCAGGCCTAGATTTAAACGCCATCATCACAAAACCCATAACCTACCTCAAAGCTATGACTCCCCATCCTCGACCATAGTCTTACATTTACAAGGCCTGAAAAGGATTCATCATTTTGCATGCTGGATGATCTATAATTTTATTAGGCCTATTTCATTTTTGTATTTTTAAGTGTGTTACAGTAGTTTGAAGAAATGACACCACCAGCTGCTATAAGGGTCTATTTCAAGGCCATAGCATGATGCATTCAAATGTTCATTCTAAGTACTGTTAACATCCAGTATGAATTGTTTCTACATTTGTAAGATTGGCCCTCCTTACCTCTAATAATCTCAGTTTAAACACAACAGAAGACAGACTAATATATCTTCTACACCACATCTACTCACCCCAAAAAACTTTGCGTTATAACTTGTATCATCTCCATTCTCCCCTGTGTATTAAACCTGGTTCACTTAAGTCCTAAAAACTCCGATTTTAAATTCTTAAACTTGTAACTTCAAGAATCAAGAGCTTTCCTCTCCAAAATTTGATTGGCTCGCAGTGGCCCCAGAACCCTAAAAGTTCACGGTACTAAATCTGGAGGGCCTGTGAGCGACAGGGGGCGGGACCTAGCTGTCCCGTTTAAAGTGTGTCTGAACCTTCACTTGACGTCTAGTCTCTCTGTTGAGGTACACGCGGATTGACCACACCTTTGGGCTTTTTTTTTCCTTGGATATTTAGGGGGGAAAGCTAATCCACAAACATGGTAAGAGCAAGCAATTGTGCAAATAACGAGTTGAAGTGTTCCAATTTTGTAAACCAACCAATAGCAATTAACCATTAGGAAGGGAGCATGTGAATTGAGTTTTATTGATTAAGTAATTAATGCATATGAAGTCTTTAATACAGAAAACTGTATTGTGGAGCAGCATGTTACCCTGTTTATAGATTGAAAATCTTTATCTTTTTATTTCCCGTTACATTTTATGAAATGCAGAACAATACATGTGTTTATGTATTAAATTCTTGCATTTTAGAGGAAACATCTAAAAGATTATTTAAGCTTATTTAAACTAAATGCCTTAATAAAAGCCCATGCACTAATCGCTGTACAAAGTTACGCTGCTTTAAGTGGATGGGTGGCAGCTGCTAAAGTGCGGATTCTGCTTAGGCGTCAGATTCCAGGGATTGGATGTCTGCAGGCCATATACAGCGAGCCTAATGTGTTGAGCCTGAAATAGCCGGACTAATTTACACCAAGCTCAAGAAGAGTCCATGGGAGACGCAACTACTCTATATGCTGCATCACATGACTTATGAAAACATGCCAATCACAAGAAATGATCATGCAGAAATATAAATGCAATAATATTTGTAGAAAACTCGTAGGAGTAACGTAATAATCCTCAAATGTCACAATGTTACTTTGCTTAATGGTATTTTACTCTCCCATTATATATTTTTCATAAGCGCAGCCCATATGGATATTAGCAATATCATTATGGAACATATTTGGCGCTTTGTAAATTCTCAATCCAAAGTGTTTAACTGATATGATCAATAAACCCGAATAAAGAATGTAGTGAATGATGTAGTGACAGAGTGCGCCCTTGTTTTCTTGCAGACTGACGCGCAACAAGAGGCCCGCTCCTACCTGAGCGAGGAAATGCTGGCTGGTGAGTACTTGCTGCAAGCTTCAGTAATGTCGTTACTCTACCCAATAATGAAGAGGATTGCTTGAGTATTTTGAAAAAAATTGGCAGCCTTACTGGTTCACACGTGTAGTTGCTGTACATGAAGTAGTCCATCCAGTTATGCATTTTTTTGTTTTGTTAGAATAAGCTTCTGAAGGCAGGAGGCACAGTAGGTCCCCTTACTGTAGTCAACCTCCGTGATGCCTGTATTTTAACAAGCAATGGGATAAGTAGTAAAACGACAGAGCAGTTATTCGGAGGCTACCGAGGCAGACCTATTTTGTGGAGTTCAATACAGAGCAATAATTATAACAATTCTTCCAACTTTCATTTTCCAGAGTTCAAAGCCGCCTTCGACATGTTTGACACCGACGGTGGCGGTGATATCAGCACCAAGGAGTTGGGTCAAGTGATGAGGATGCTGGGTCAGAACCCGACAAGAGAGGAGCTGGATGAGATCATCGAGGAGGTCGATGAGGACGGTTAGCAATGAAATATGCAATCATATTGTGCACAATCAGTGTTTTACGCACAAGCAAACAGTTAGACCTACACTTTATAGTTATCTCACACACGCTCATACAGACATAGTTAATGTATAAGACATTCTTTAAAAGTGAAGCCCCTGTAATTTGGCCTTAGTTAGTGCAGATTGAAGGGGCAGGTGTGCATAAAGTATCGGTTATAAAGGCCCCACTGACATTGTGTATTGTAATGGATTACAACATAGCCTCTACATGTAATGTAAACAGTTCAATGCCTACTGGATTTTCTAAACAGACAAGTTTCTTTTTTGTTTTCGTCCTTATCGTGGTTTTATCTCAGAACAACAAATCGGGGCATAATTCTAGTATGACATCTTAGTGTTTCATGCGTAAAACCGTGCGCAAAGACATGAACCTAGTCCTCAAGGGAGCGCAAGAAAAAGGGCCTTTGGTCAGACTGACTTTACTAAACAGTGATGTTTTCCTTTCTTGGACTCAGGTAGCGGTACCATTGACTTCGAGGAGTTCTTGGTCATGATGGTGAGGCTGCTAAAGGAGGACCAGGCCGGCAAGAGCGAGGAAGAGTTGGCAGAATGCTTCCGTGTGTTCGACAAGTGAGTTCACCGTGTCCCTGCATCGACCTTGGTTCAGGAAAGCTACACTCATGTTTTCTTCTTAAATTCTAATTGGCTGTTTGTGCACACGTTTGTCTTTTTTTTTTTTTTTCGTAGGAACGGTGACGGATACATCGACAGAGAGGAATTCGCCGTCATCATCCGCAGCACCGGCGAGCCCATCACAGAGGACGAGATTGATGAGCTGCTGAAGGATGGAGACAAAAACGCTGATGGCATGCTCGACTTTGACGGTACGTGCATAATGATGGCGATTATTTTTAAGTATACTTTACTACAACACAAAAAGGTCCCTTTTACAATTAGGCTAAAACTCACATTAAATGGATTAGGACGTTCTAGGTTAGCCTGGATAATCCAATTATTTGACTTTAATTTATATGACTTTCAAATACTTGTGTAGCAGTCCTTGCATATTTCCCCTTTTCTGGTCTGCTAAAGCACATCTGGTTCAGGTTTTGGTTACCTCAAAGTGTTACACTTTTTCTGTACATTTGGGGAATTAAATAATGATAATGATCATCTAAGCCACATTTTATAATCAAAATACAGAACATTTATAAGAAATGATTTGCTTTACTTGAACTACCTATGTTAAATATGAAAAAGAATCCAGTGTAGAGTTCATTTTAATCTTGTTGGGATTTTCTGCAGCTGACGTTGATCATGATGGTAACTCAAACTTTTCATTTCCTTCCCAGAATTCCTCAAGATGATGGAGAATGTGCAGTAAAACCTGAAAGACTCATGGACATTCCTCCTTCCCTGTTACACTCAAACCACCCCCTTGCTCCCCGTCCTCCTTCCTGTCCACCTCAATTCACCGCCTGTCTTCTCCATCCTTGTAGACATCCTCAACAGAGAGCTAGGACAAACAATGGTGGGTCGCTGGCTGGGTTACACCTTTTCCCAGTGCGCTAGAAGAAAGCCCATGGATGCAATGTGGAAATTAGGTGCACATGTTGTGTTATCATCAGCGACTCACCCTCCTGCTGGTTAAGCTCTGATCTAGATGCAGTCTAGATAGAAAGGCAGCCTGTGACCTGCTGCTTAGACCAATTAATACAACCACGTCACTGTACAAAGTAATTTGCTTTAACAGAATAAATTAACTAACACATGCTCACTTGTAGTTGGTCTGTTATATTTAAGGTCTGTGTAAAAAAAAATTGTTTTGAGGAATTCAATAAAATCTGTTTGTTTCTTCTTTTTGTCCATTTTGTTTGAAACACAGCGAGTTCTGTGTTGACTACAAGATGTGCTGAGGATACTGCAGACTTTTTGAGTATCAGTTGTAGTAACTGCTGTCACAAATGGGATAAAAAAGATTGGAGCCAAATTAAGGGCACCAGGACACCCAAAAAATCATTTTTTATTAAAGCTCCTGTGAGGATCTTTTGGTATGTTGATTTTTGCGCACCTAATCAGTCCCTTTCTCTCCTCGCTGATTTGTCCTAAACGTGTCTGTAGTGTTTCATGACAAAAACAAATCTCGTCCGTTTTTGTTCGAACATATCACTTTGAATTTTAGATCAACACCCTGGATGTGTTCAAGTCATCATGCAGTTAATAACATCCGGAGGTTATCTATTTTTTATTCTCTATTGAAAGGGTAACCAATTTATTCATATAATTGTATTCATTCCTTCAGATTACAAAACCAGCAACATTTAAATAAGAAGAAACAGAAGACAGTGGTTTTACTTAATGTGTTTTATTTTGAAAAAAGAGTTCTAAAAGGTCCAATAAACAAAGTTCTCTAAATCAAGGAGAACTGTACAGCCAAGTGTAGGTCTATATGCAATGCCAACACAAAAGCATAGCATTTCAGTCAAAGTTGAATAGTATACGTGTTACTCTGACTTCTCCACAAAGTTTTGAGAGCACATTTTAATTTGAGGTTAATGACCGTGTGTGCATTAGACCAAAAAAGATGAAGAAATATAACGCTAAATAAGAAGTCTTGTCCTGTAGTCAGGTTATGATCCGTAATTAGCTTCGTCGAAAGCTTTCCTGGCTCTCTTCAGCTCCTCGTTCATGGTCAGGAGGTCTTTGACTCTGGCGAACTTCCTGGGGTCTTTACGAATCAGGTAAACGATGTCCTCCACCTGGACGCGACCCTGGCGTCCGATCGACATCGCTTTGTGAGTCATCTCGGTGATGAACTCAATGACGAGGTCCTCCAGAATATCCACGGACTCTGTGTAAGGATTCTGATCATCTCCAAATCCGTACATCATACACCGGAGCTCCTTGGAAAAGAGCCTCTTCCTTTTCCCGTGGCCGACGTCCATACCAGTGGACCCGTCGTCCACCTCCTCGTCGTAGCCGGTCTCGTCCTCCTCGTCCGCCATTCTGCTGAAAAAACACACGGAAATATTGGTGTAACTAAGCGACGAGAGCTGCGTGAACTTTAACGTTGAGCAGGTACATGTGCTGGCGATATTTTTTCTTTATTTGCGATAAACACAACACATAACCTGGAGAGAAACAGGTACCTTGTTCAGGCGGGATCACAACAGTCTGTCGTCTGTGTTGACTTCCTCCTCTGTGTCGTCGACTGCGGAACAGTGTTGCCAGATCTCGCGAGAGAAACAAGCAACCAGCTATATGAAACAAGCCCAAAACAAGCGAGCTGGCGCCTCAAAAAATAAAATGAAGCCCAACAGGTGACCTAACCTACCACATAGTGTAAAACAGAGGCCACTTGATAACATATATAGATCGGGCGGGCGGGCTAACCAAGGAAACAGGGTTCGGACGGATCCTAACTGTTGCGATTGTGTTTTGCTTTATTGTGGAGAGTTGGGAGTGAATAGGGGTTCATACAGGGAGCAAAGCAAGCCCAAACAAGCAACAGCAGATTAGAAAACAAGCCCAAAAACCTGCAACCCGCGACTGACGATATTTGCAAGCAACTTTACAGAAAAACAAGCCCAAAGTCGCTTATAACAAGCGGACCTGGCAACACTGCTGCGGAAGTGACTTTGCCAGGAGAAAAAGGCCTGCCATAGAAAACACTGCGCCTAGCGGTGACTTATCCCGACTATGTTTCCTTTGACTCATGATTCGTCTAGTGTTAATATTTAAAGTGTGTGTTATACCAACACATTTGAGAAGTTATATTCAGTCTATGATGTGAGTCAGCCTTGGGTTCAAGATGTTTCTACATTTCTCTGCTGTTATGTTTGTTGTTGACAAAAACAGAACTGTACATTCAAATGTCTACTTTAAAATAACTGCGTTTAAGTGGACCCTATTGCCATGCTGCATTTTAAAACACCAAGGTTTGCAATAAATGTACAAACAATAAATAAATAATGATTTCTTCTGCGCTTTGTGTGCGCCGTTTTCAGTTAAACCTAAAGGGGGCGGTAGCGTTCAACCAACACAGTTAAGTCACAATGTATCAAATAATTCTACTTCCTAGTAGGTTATGTTAATGCCGAATTAAAGAGAGGTCCACGCTGATTGAAGAAAGGTCTTTGTTTGTTATGCATGTGACTTGTAGATGGGGGAATGAACAGAGCCTTTGTTTGTGGACATTAAGCTCAATGGAGTTCTGCATGAGGATGTCTGCAGGGAAATGACACGACGCCTCTGTGTTGCTCTGTGTACTCTGTCACTAGTTACACAGGGCGAGTGATAGTGAAACTGAACTAAGAGTGGTGTCCTTTAACACGGTACAATTATCCACAGACTTTTCTTACTAAGGGGAATAAACCACGTCGTTGTACACAGGAGGCTGACGTCCTCAGCCGGTAATGGGATGTAACCTAGGTAACAGCTGGACCTGTTAAACGTAGCGGAACAACCATCTGGTGAGTTTTATCTGTTACTGTAACATCTGCTAACAGTGAGTTTATCAGCAAACACAAGCAGATATTTTCTTATTTGTGATATTTAAAGCACTTACTTCCCGTTTAATAACTTGTTGTCCTGCAGTCGGTGGCATTTATTATGAACGTACCTAGGCTAATGTTAGCTGATGCTGGTTTTCAAAATAATATTGGCATTAAGCGACCATTGCAAGTTCCCCTTTCTTCTCTTCACACTGTCTCTTCCTGTTTACATCTTGAAATCTTGAATCTGCTGTTTCTCACAGGAAGGGCTGCACATTCAGTGTTGAGATGAACTTTCCAAAGTAGCAGTCTCTTCTGGACCACTGATCCTGGCAGCCCTTTATGGCGTGCCCTGTCCAGTTCTTCTGCCGGGGGCTTCGCACTGTTGGATTAGTTCTCCTTTACTATGCCTTCTCTATAGGCATCACCTTCTATAACAAATGGCTGATGAAGGTAAGTGAAGAAGTCCCTGACATACAAACGATAAGTCATAAAACTGATCCTCAGTACTTCATGGTTTTCACTAAGGATGATTCATGTAAACCAGGGATGGCCAACTTTGGTCACAGCAAGGGCCACATTCATTTAGTTCTCACTGCCAGAGGGCCAAATTGTAGGATACAAAAACGATTACAGTCGATTATGTCTCAAATTTAACTCAACATATACCAGTGATCAAATATTATTATGGACATACTTCTGGTTTTCATGATTTCATGGCAGATTTAGTCATGTTTTCTTCATGTTCCCGATTAATTGATGTGTAAAAATTGACCTGAGGGCCACATTGAAGGTTGATGTTGGGCCAGTTGCCCACCCCTGATGTAAACAATCTTGTTTTTCCTGATTATGGGACTCTGGTTAACATACAGTGTGGGTATGATACTTCAAAATTAATTTTCACATCAGTTCAATAATCCAGGATTCAGTAGCATTGGCTTATGATATGATATTATAAAAATGGCATTTAAAAATCAGAAAATATTGTATTGATTTGATTAAATATCTTGATGAAACCTGTGACTTACACCTTCAAGTGTTTCTATGCTAGGAGGAGGTGTAGAGTATGTCATTTTCGCAGTGTCCCAGGGGGAACGAACCTTAAAAAAAAGAGCCAGTAGACCATGGATGAATTATGACCACAAGGCCGTCAAGGATTACATCTATTTTCTCTCACAGGATTTCCGCTACCCCCTCTTCATGACGTTGGTTCACCTCACCATCATCTTCTGCCTTTCGACTCTGACACGAAGGGCCATGCAGTTATGGACGGGGAAACCACGCATCACTTTGAATTGGAGAGATTACCTCCGTAAAGTAGCACCCACAGGTGAGCTTCTCAGAGTTTTACAAAACGGATCAGATGGAAACACAACACATTCAGAGAATGAGAAAAAAGAGCTGATAGTTCTTATCATAGTTACTGACTGACAACGTTTTGAGTGGAAGCTAATCGCTCTTACAGCACACGGCTAAAGTTCAAATTGATAAAATAAAAAAAGATTACATCACACAAACGACGACAGTTGAAAAGCCTAATGATCTCACAGAGAATAACTACTAAGTAGATTCACTTTTTATAGAGTCAAAAAACAAATCTTTGTTACTTTCAAAAGCAAACCTGCAGCAGCACAAAAATGATTTTTTTTATTATCATGTTATATTAATGCTTGTAACCGCTCTTGCAGAGTAGATTTTAGACAGAGTTATTGTCTGCATGCTGGCAGAACTGTCTTTTTTGTTTTCAGTGTCATAGATTCACAGTATGTGTTACATTCGACTGTTACACTACTACTAACACAACTAACACATGTACAGGTGGAATTAACAAAGACATAAGAAACACCGCTTTGTCCACAGGAGTAGACAAAAATCTACCTCAGAAAAAATTATTTAAGCTGTAAAAGTCCAATATGTAAGATACAGTATTTACTGAATTAAATCATTAAATGACCTCACTACATCATCAGACATATGGAAACATGCTACGTTGAAGTGCTGGCTCCTCTGTCAACAACGCAGCAGCCAGTATGTGTCAATTCCAGTGCAGAATGATTTGTTTTTGTTTTGACAAGAGAAGGGAGGTGTTGCACCTGGATTTGCCAGCTGCCCGCTGCAGGTGGAAGCGGGCACTGGTTCAGAGATAACTGATTCTACCCGACCTAAAGAGCCTCTACATTTTTCTAATAAACTCCACGAGCAGAAACGTGTGAAAAAGGAGAAACATTGGATATGCTTTTGAAAAATGGAGAGAGATATGTTTTAAATTTGTACTGCATTTTTCTTTTGGGGGGGGGGGGGGGGGCTTTTTGGGCCTTTATTTGAAAGACAGGACAGTGGATAAAGTCAGAAATCAGGGAGAGACAGAGTGGGGAACGACATGCGAGAAAGGAGCTACAGCTTCCATACATGGGACGTGCGCACTAACCACTGTGCCACCAGCGCCCCGATTTGTACTGCATTTTAAACACTAGGTGTCAGAGTAACATATTTCTCCTTTAAGTTTCTTTATTTTGTAGGATAACCCATCTTCTTTGTTTTTATCAGTAACTTTGAAAACAAAATACCCCTTCAAGTTCTGCTAATTTAAGCCTTAAATTACTAGGTTTTACTGTTATAAATTCAAATGTGAACGATTAAAACTGATCTATCTTCATCTGTGATACGTTCCTTTTTGTGTTTAAAACTGAAAGTCTTAAAATAGGGACACAAAAATGGATTGCTTCTTAGAGTTCTACATTCTGTCCCCCTTTACCCAGCCTTGGCAACAGCACTAGATATTGGACTCTCCAACTGGAGCTTCCTCTTCATCACCATTAGCTTGTAAGTGTACGACTTGTGCTTTTTTAATTCAAACATACAACATCAATATGAGCTGAGCATCTTAAGGTTATCGAGGTCATATTTGTGAAGTTAGTCATTGCTTCCTGCATTTATTTTGTGCCATCCCAGGTACACCATGACCAAGTCTTCAGCTGTGCTCTTCATCCTCTTTTTCTCCCTGGTCTTCAAACTGGAGGAGCCGGTGAGTGACCTACATATTTAACTTCAAGTATTTGTTGGAAAAAGTTTTGCTAGAGAATGATGGTTTATTTGCTTACACACTTTATTTATGCCAGAGGAAATGCTTTGTTCTGTTATTTGGAGTAAACAGTCACACAAAAAGAAGAACACAAAGTCCACCAATGTAATAAACCCAACATACATAACAATCCTATCCTATATTATAACACATTTCTAGTGCAACTATGCCCTCTGTTTTATCAACAATGATACAGGATTGTCAAGGTAATACAAATATATGGACTGTATGTCATAATAACCTTTCATCATAATTTTCTCCGACTGTTTATCGCCATCTCTCCTTTGTTTCTTGCGACCAGAACCCATTCCTGATCGTGGTTGTGCTCCTGATCGCCTCTGGTCTCTTTATGTTTACGTTTGAGTCGACTCAGTTCAACCTGGAGGGCTTCATCATGGTGCTGCTGGCGTCCTTCATAGGGGGGATCCGATGGACCCTCACTCAGGTCCTCATGCAGAAAGCTGAGCTGGGTCAGTTTTCTTGTTGGCTTTTTTTCTCCCATAAACAGATGAATATAAAAAAAAATAATGTGACTATCAGCTTCCCCAAACCAGCATCAGCGGAGAAAAAGGATGAATAAAGTGTGTGCAGTATGATTTTATCTGTTTACTTAATACCTGAATCTGTCTCTGCCTGAATCCTCTGACCATGAGTGAACTGATAAGTGGATACACTTTCTATGGAGAAGAATATATATTATTTATGAATACAATATTTGTTATCATCTCCATCTGGTAAAAGCACTGTATTCAATATGTAGCTAAGCAAAGAATCACTTAAGAATCTCAAAATAACCTCTGACAATAATACAGGTACATCTAAATGTGTGCTTACTTCATTAAAGATAAAATGTTTTTGTCTTCTCTTCAAACTTCATCTTCATGTTCTTCTCTATGCCAGGCCTTCAGAACCCAATTGACGCCATGTACCACCTACAACCTCTCATGTTCCTCGGCCTCTTTCCCCTCTTCCTGTTTAATGAAGGTTAGTATTGTCTTCAGCTGTGATTTGTCATCCTGTCTCTGTTGCCACTGCTGTAAACTGGACTTTCGCTAAATTCACAGGCTCGGAGTGAATGGTCGTATCCCGCTTATAATCTATTATCAACATACAGTCTGTCAATATACCCTACATGTACACAGAACATTCAAAAGAGTTGTACAGCTTGAACAAAGGTGCACATGACCATGCTGTAAAAATAAAGCCCATTTATTTTTTACAAGAGATTTATGACCACATACTGTATATCTTTTTAAGAGACTGCCCTCACCAATGTTTTGACTTTTGACTGCAGTACCCTTTTTTAAACACTAGGTGTCAGAGTTGCATATTGCTCCCTAGAGTGCATATGGTATTAACTCTATTTTAACTCTATTTTCACATCGTTAATGTCCAGTCCATATAAAAAATAATCAATAATATGCTGGGATTAACAGGTGTGTCAAATTGAATCATGATAGACGGTAAGTCTAGGGTTAACAGCCGTTAGCGGCCGTGAATTTGAATCCAATCACAGCTCTTGGCTGCATGTCCTCCCACGCTCTCTGCTCTTAACATTTCCTGTCTCTCTTCAGCTGGCCTATCTAATAAAGGCAAAAAAGGTCCCAATAAATAACTACAAAAAAACAATTCTAATACTAAGTAGACTCAGTAGACTTTGTGGCTAAAGAAAAAATCAGGTAAGCTAAATATGTAGACTCCAATTTTAAACTCAGTTGTGGTTCATTTAGGTTTCATTAGTGTGAGACTTAAGAAGGAAAGAAATGAAACGTTTGGTATTTAATGGTTTCAAGCAGTATCCTCGTGACCATTTGTTGTGATTCTGTGAAAATACCCGTAGAATGTAAAAGATTGACTTTAGGATTATGGGACAATAAATGATCAGTTACTAAAAGATTTTTTGTTGTCTCTTTTTCCAGGGCTCAGCCTCAGCACTTCTGAAAAGCTATTCCGGGTGACTGAGCTTTCCCCTCTCCTACATTCACTCTTCACGCTGAGCATCGGCGGCTTGCTGGCTTTCGGTTTGGGCTTCTCAGAGTTCCTGCTGGTCTCTAAGACCTCAAGCCTCACTTTATCCATATCAGGGATCTTTAAGGTACTTAATGGTTTCTGTGTGTGGTATGGCTTGATTGAAAAGCTAAAGCTATTGAAATCAAAAAAAAAGAAGAAAAAAGCCCCTTCACACAATTTTAATCCAGGCAGAACAATATTTAGATAAGTCAAATCAATTTAAATTACAGCAACAAATCATAACTGGAATAATAATATGATGCTTTTCATGCAGAGCAGGTCTAGACTTGGCCCATTAAAAGATTAATTACAAATAACCAACAATTTGCAGATGTAACTGTCCCACTATGGGGCTCACCTTCTTTTCATATGTCTTAAAACTTTTAAAATGGTTGAATCGAATTGGACAGGAATCGACAAAAACATTGACCATTGACTAATGTTTGCATTCATCCCACAGCTTTATTTTTCTGCTGAGTAAAGATGATTCAAAGACTGAAAGACCTGCTCTGTTCTAGTCTTGTTCAGACTTATCTATGACACCCTCCCTTAATTCCTTTGATTGTCTTGTTTGTCTGTAGGAGGTGTGTACTCTGCTTTTGGCAGCATCTCTGATGGGAGACAAAATGAGCTTGCTTAATTGGCTGGGATTCGCTGTGTGCCTGTGCGGCATTTCATTACACGTGGGACTCAAGACATATTATTCAAAAAGTGAGTGTTCATTTTATTGTTATTGTTCATTCTACTGTCAACATGTGAAACCTGCAACAAATAAAGAGGCAATCAATGTTAGCAACATCCCTACTGACCATCCTATACAGCTTTAATTATAATGTCTGACACTGTAATAGAAGAATGTTAGTGTTCAATCATTTTATTAAAGTAAAAATTTAATCTTTTGTTTTTACGGTAAAAAGTCGAATATGTATCATTTCAAAAGTTTAACTGCTGAGCACAAGATGTCTTTCTCTCAGAGGAGTCAATCATTACATTTTTAATTTAATGGCACCAATTCACAACAAATGTTCTCTCAAGACATTGTACAAAAAGAGAAGGTCTGGACCTTACCCCCTTTTTTTAATGTTATTTACAAAGACCCAACATGAATCCACCATGAACAAACACTCAGCAGTATTTGGCAAAAGAGGGAAGGAGAAACATCCTTTTAACATCACAACCCTTGAGCAGAATCAGACTCATTTATAACAGCCATCTGCTCTCGGGCTGAGAAAGAGGGATAGAGGGAGATGCAGAAAAGATGAGAGTCCAGCCCGAGGCTTCACGGGTCCAAATTACATTTGTGTCGTGCTCTGGCTCTACACAAAACACATCATAACCAGAAAGTCACATCCTCCGATGAGGAAAAAAACAACCAGCACTTTAATATGGACCAAGGGCTAAGATGTGACCACATTGCTTTCTGCTATCTTAAAACATCAGTTGAAATTATTATTAAGGCTGCATTTTTGTAGCAGAGGCGAAAAGATACATTATAAGACTATGTAAGTGTCCATCCTCCATACCCTGTGTTTTTGGAGAAATAACCCCACCTCATGGCCACTACTGAAACACTGATATTAACAACTATCTGCTTGAATCACCGTTTAAGATCATCATTTAACATAAAGGTTTAAGCTGAATAGGGAAACTTTTCCCCTTTTGCAGTTAGATGTGAAACACAGTTTCTCTAATGTCAAACAGAGCATGCATCATGCTGCACTGTGAAGCTGAACATCCACGCCAAGCATTGTTCTATGAAACTATTTGAATTTGAGGGGCATTGATGAAGTAATGAAATAACAATTTTGTCCTGTATTCCCTCAGGCAAAGGTCATTCTTTAAGGCAGCTCAACAGTAAGAGCCCAGAGCTTGAGTTGCCCTTACTGCGGCAGAATGGAGGAGAGATAGAGGACTCAGCTGCTGAAGAAGACGAGGAACAAGAGATCACTCTGCACTGACATCAAAGGATGCACACCGATGATGTCTAGAATGGCTTCATAACACTTGTTCCTTTACTTCCATCAAATGGTCTGATCTGTGATGTCAAAGCCTTCAAAAAAACTACATATGTTCAGGTAACACTGCCAAAAAGAGAGAGGGAACAGCCTCTGTTACGCTGTTCCTACTCCGATCATGTTTTCAGTCCAGACAAGGACCATCATTTGTACATCCACCGTGGACTTGACACAACAAGTTAGAATCTTTTGCCTTAGGGAAGCTTCACTAATGTAGCTAATACATCTCAATGTCAACAAAGTGTGATGTATGGAGAGAAAAAAAGGGACACACCGACACCTTAAATCTAGTGGGCCATTTTGCTTTGCTGGAAACGTGTTACGCTGTGGAAATATCTTCTGACCAGGTCTGGGAGCAGATTTTTTTAAACAAGAATTTCAATAAGAACTTTTAACCAAACTTACTTCAAAGGCCTGTGCTGCTAATGTCAATAAGTGATTCATTTCAGTCAAGCAATGAGCTGAAGAGATGTGAAAAGACTGTACCTTGATGTGCCTTCTTAACCTCACAGCAGTCGAGAAGACTTCTTTTTAAGAGCTATTTTTAAGATTCATTCTGACTGAATAAGCTGTTGAAACTACTTGAGTTCAAAGCTTTTTAAAAATTAAACCTATTTGAATGTTTGTTATGGATTTTCTGTAAGATGCAGCATTGTTGCACTTCAGTAAGAAATACAAAGAAAAGGTCGTTTTTCATTTCAAATAAATCTGTGAAAACTAATGTGTAGCACACTTTGAAATGTCATACCTGTCTCCCTCTTTCTTTTCATTATAGGTTTTATTCAAGTCAAGATGCAAATCTAACTTGAGCTATCATTATAGAGGTTATCTTATATTACCCTGATGATTGTCATCCTGCAGCCACTACAGGTCTTCCTCTAATTCAAGTTGCTCTACCGTTGGAAAAGATAGTTGAAAAAGCTACTGCATGTACTTTCTATTTAATTTATTTTAAATGATAAGACCAGGTATAAGAAAAAGGAGGAATGTTTTTTTTCCTGCACCTTGGGAATATAGTCTAAATGTCAAAAATAAAGTCAAAGTTTAAGACTACGGTAAGTGTCAGGCATATGAAAAATAAATCAAACAAGACATTTTTTTGATTGTATGTGGACCAAAAAGTGTTTTTGCCTGGCGCTTAAACTTAATTTAATATACTTTTAGATAACAGTGTACACTTGGACATTTAACATCTGTGAGTCATGCCTTTGACTCATTGGGGATTAGATTTCACAAATAACCTTTTTATAACCAACACCTGCGTGACCTGCTAGCCAGAATTCATGTTGTAGGGTCAAGTTCCAACTTGGCTGTTTGGAAATTGTTTAAGCCTGTATAGTGCAGATTTAATGGAAAATAAGCATCTGGTGTAAAGCCCCTTTTTCCACAAGCATCTTGCTCATGAAGTCACCAAAGTAACTTCCAACAAATGTATTCCACTTTGTGAAGAGTCACAGGTATCATAGAAAATAATGCTCTAGTCTAATGACGATTAAATGCATAAAGTGCACCAGACAGCAGGTAGTCCCTGTTGCGTTTAATCAAGGTGTGCTGAGTGGAAACAGGTCGAATTTGCGCTGTTGAGGTTTTAATAACCTCTGAAGTGCCACGCCCATGTTGAAGCTACGGGACGGCCTCGCTTCTCGGATTTCACCCCGAGGAGTTCAGATACAAGTTGATGTCAAAGAGCTGCCTTCACAATCAAGCGGAACTGGCGCGTGTTGACATCCCAACCCTGGAATGCTCGTGTTCAGTCTCTGAAGGAAGGAACGTGCACGCAGGTAGCAACCAGGTAAGAACCTCACCTGGCTCTTTGAGACGGCGACAAACAATAACTGTAGGCTTTTTTTTTTTTTTAGCTAAACTATTGTTATTGGCGCTCTCCCACCTTGTGTTGTGGGGGAGAGAAACAAAGTCAAAAGTTCACGTTATCTTGAGTAGTTGCCCTCCATTGTTAGAAACTTCTTTTAAAAATCCTCCACGAGAAGAGTAAACAGTTAAGTAGACAACGTCTTGAAGTTACACATTCACATTTAAACAAATGTCGGGTTTTAATTGTTGAAAATACACGAATTAAAATATCTAGTCTTTTTTTACTTATTTCAAGTAACAAGCGAAACGCAAAACACATAAATAGCAATTAAATAACAGGTACTTAACAAAACGCTATAGACTTTAATAGCCTGCTGCTAAACATTTGTGTAGTCTACTGAGTTCAATAAGTTCAATTCGCCTTTTTAACTCATAAATAGACCACCTGAGTAACTTAAAGGTTCAGTGGAGTTCAAGCTTCTTCTTGGTGGTGTCATGTTTTCCAGGTGAGCTCACACTAAGGGCAGAAAAGATGTCTGAAGCTAATTTAAGACCACAATCATTTCTCTAAAGTTCACTGATACACAGAGAAAGTATGAGACATCAGACAGTCATCAGCTCTGGTTAATGGAGACATATTTTACATTTGACAACGTTAGTTTTTGTGCTCATAAATGTGATTCTGCTATTTTCCTGCTCATTTTGGTCGAGTGCAGGTGATACTTATGGAATATATGCGATATTTTATTCCAACTTATTGCAAAGACCATGAACTCTTCGATTTAGTATGATTGTCAAAGTAGTTGGCTCTCTGGTGATAGTCAACAGGCAGATGCAGACAGTACAATACCATGTTCCTCATAGTATAAAATTTCACTGAGTATAGTAGGAAGCTACTCAAAACTTGGGTTGCATCTAAAACATGTGTTAAAGGTGCATATCACCACAAATTCTATATGAAGGAATGGCATTAAATCACATAAACAGTCAAAAGAATATGTAGTGTTAGCATACTTAATGTGGCTTTTTTATCATCCTGTAATAATGCCAGACATGATTATTTCAAGCCATGCAATATTCATTTCAAAACATTTTAAGGGACAGATACTGACCCTGTATATTATTATTTAAATTCCAAAGAATGATCAACAAATGTTGCAGATGAAAGTGAAATGATTTTTCTTCACCAGTGCATAAAGGAAAAACTGAGTTATTCCCAATAGACTCAAGAGTTTGGCATAATAAAGTCCACATGTTGGCTCATAATCTTTACTATTAGAGATGCACAGATTGTGGAAATACAGATTTTGAATTTGTGTTTTGGGGGGGGGAAGCAACAACAATTCACCCGATTGTGATACCAATGTTTTTTTTTCATTACTTCTTTTGGTGGAAGAGTCCCTCAATGACATCTGACTTCCTCTGTCCATGTCTGTCAGCAGGGCCAATATCAGCTGATACTGATGTAAAACCGATCCATCTGTGCATCCCTAGTTACTATTATTGAGTTTTTGGCCGAGGAAACTGGACTGAAAGTCTGCTGCATATGCTCATATGCGGTTAATTTAAACAAATAGCGTAAAGATAAGTGTGGTTTATCTATAACAGTGCTGTGTTTCTGATATACATTTTTTAATGCACCTTAATTATATACCTCACATATTTAAAAATGGGGTATGGCAAAAAGAGGAAAGTAGAGTAGATCCATAGGCATTGTCTTAACAATACTAGTCTTTTCTTTAAGACAGGTATGCGACATGCAGCTCAAGTTCCAGCTCAAACACTTGACAACATTCCGGCAAGCAGAAACACGAAACATGCGTAAAACATACAAGAAGAGTGATACAGTCACACGTCACGTCCTGCACATGATGGCTGTATATCTGTGTCTGAAGAGCCTTAAGGCAGGATGGAAATTTCTCTTCAGCGGTGGTCCGTCTAGTCATAAAGTTGATCTAGACGGACTCAGACATGAGCTCATTACTCAGTTGAAGTGAAGACACTTTAAATAGATTATTCTTTTGTTCTGGTGGTAATTTTTTTTGCTAAACTGTGACTTAAGGTTGCTTTTCTCACCATCCCTTTGTTCTCTCAGTTTTAGGTATAGATCTAGGAATATCAGTATAATAACATAGCTACCAGACATTTGATTTTCGCTTTGTTCTTCTCTTTCCTTCATTTTATTGAACAATATTCGTATTCACTGGGAGGAGAAGTCAGACATCGTGCCCTTGGTTACTAAAGAGCATCTGCCTACATCACTTCCAACCCTTCAGTTCTCCAGCATGTTTAAACATTTTATTTAACACATTTAGCTTTATTTTGTTCAAGTCAGGGCATTGAAATGTCAACACAAACTGCTGTGTATGATATGCTGGACAGGTTTCAAATAGTCTTCCTGTTCAAGAGAAAAGCATCCACTGTAATGCACTGTTAAAGAAATCAGAACTAAAGACATGCAAGTCTTGCATAGTGCTGACTGCTGTCCCTCTGAGACAGAGGTGTGTTAGTTTTATGGGCTCTTAAAGTGCAGCGTGTTTGTTAATGTGTGTGTCATTAGCTGTGTGAAGTTGAGGGTCTGTAATGTGGACGAACACTACCACCTGTACTTTGTGGCAGCCATAAAAGAGTTCCCATGGGAAAAGGTGACCGACTGCATTCGTTGGTGCAGCGTTATTTTTGTCTTCTTGTGCTGTTTGGCAAACAAAGAAAAATAATTAGTAAACCTTTTTTTTATCTTGCTGTCCAGTTTAACTAAATTGTACAATACCTTGTTGGTCTTTCAAATACATGAATCTTTGCAAAGTAATTAGAATAACTTTTTTGTGTAGTTCATGACTGAAATGACATATTACATATTACTAATAGGGGTGATGATTGTATTATTTTTTACCACTACTTCTCTACTGTAACTGAATGTCCCTTTGTCCAACACTGTCTTTTTCCTTCCATCCAGTCATTACTATTGATCATCACTATAATTATTATATAGGCATGCAGAGAAGTATGAATGCTGTTTTAGAAGTTATCTGGCAAACTGAGTAATCCTGCTTGGTTCATTTATCCCAATGCAATTTCTAGTTTCTAGAAGGCATTTTATCATTCTTTTTGCCTTTATTGGATAGGACAGTGGATGGAGTATGAAACCAGGGAGAGAGCAATTGAGGAGTGACATGCGGGAAAGGAGCCACAGGCCGGACTCAAACTCGAGCTGCCCGCTTGAGGTCTATAGCCCCCGAATATTGGGCATGACCAAACCACTAGGCCGTCTGTGCCCCCAATTTGATCTTCCATTTTAACAAACTGCTTCTCTTAAGAAGTTTTAGGAACTCTATTTTGTTGATGTAGTTTAACTTCTTCCAGCATGATGTAGCTTGGATAGCTTTGTTTTCATAGTAGCATCCCAAGCTGTCCGCAGAATACCAGAATACAGTGAATGATGCGGCAAATTATTCAGATTTTTTGTTGGCTTTGATAAGAAAAAGAGTCCTTAATCAAATATATTTACTTTGTTCTATCATTTGAAAGATGGTAATGCAGCAAATCATCACAAATCATTAGCTACAATAACACACAAGTCTTAATAACTTTGCTTGAAACATTAATTTATTGATTTGCTTCCTTGGTCACATAATAACTTTTGCAGGTTAAGTTTTTGATCAAAAGAAGACAAAATGCATCCAGCTTCACCTAGCTAGTTTGGCAATGACCTGTTTTTTTTTACTCTTCTACTGAGCAAATTAGCCACTGCATGCATGATCAATATTAATGTTACATATATGTATGACTTATCAAATAAACATGTATGTATGGTTCTCTTTCTCTTTCATGTTACCAGACTCCACTCATGTCTCTGTACCTAACATCATCATCATCTTCATCATCATCTCTCTGCCTCATGCTGAGGTTGCTGCTGAGTGTCCTGTTGCTGCTCTCGTCGGGGGTCCATGGCCAAGGTATAGTGCCTTTTGAGTACATCTTAAATTACAGCATGCCACATACACAGCTAGATGTGGTGGTGAGGTTGGGACCTAACGGTCTAGAAAATCATCTCTGTTACGCTGTTGTTTGTTACATGTCAATCAACTGCTTGTAAGTGTCTGTTCTAAGGAGGGGTTTGTAAGTGAACAACAGAGAGATTTGAATACCACCTTATTCTCAATTCATATGGGGTCACTTTTAAAAATCTAAATTCTAGCTCAGACTGATGATCAGGATGATCTATTTGGTAATTGATGACCATTTCTTTACATCTAGCATTATATTTAAGATTATTTTTTGCCTTTATGACATAGGACACCTACAGAGAGACAGAAGATATGATAGAAAAAGAGATCAGGATTGGCAGTCTAACCTGTGACCAGTCCTCTGTAGTCGTGGCAACTACTCTACCAACTGAGCTAAACCGATTCCCTCTTTTGATTTTTTTCTCCTAACATTCATTTTATTATTAATAATCAAACTATTCATAAAGGTAAGGGTTAGCAAGAAACTAAACTGAAAAATAATGGTCAAAACCAGTTATTTTTGTCAGTGGATATGTAAGACCTTGACCTCATTCTTTCTAAATTCCCATTTAGACCCTTTATGATCCTTTGCCGGGCACCCAAGAGGACGGGGACCCTCCATGGGCCCCTGGCCCAAATACACAGGAACACACACACATTATTGAGGGTCATACGCTGAAAAGAAGCGATGAAGACAACCTTCTGTGACTCATGTCTACACTCTTCTGTCTTCTTTGCCCACCCATCTTCCTCTCCATCTGTAACCCTGCCACACTGTAACTCTGCGATGTTCCTCTGACATGCCCTTTGACCCCTCTAGTCTCCAACAAACGTCCTGTTCCTGTTTCTATACCAGACAAGAGGACAGGGCAGGCTTTGATGGATGAGGGGGCAGCTGGAGAGAGGGATGGTCCGAGGGTGGGAGGATAGAAATATGAAAGACGCTGCTTGTTGGGAAACCCCTGCTGGAAATTATGCAGATGATGTTGAAAACAAGAGATTGATTTGATTTAAGGAGAAGGAAGTGAGGCCGCCCTGGAGAATGGGAGGAGAGAAGAAAGCACAGATTGTTTCTTTGATCTCAGAAAAGTCTGAAACTGTCATGATCTCCTTCTTTCTCTTGATCCAAGTCTCAAGTATACCAGACACACATACACGTTAAAACCTGAATTTTTGTTTTCTCTGTCTCTGTGAATGTCAAGGTCGTCTTAAGCTGACAGTGCTGTCTGAAGACAGACTGCAGATGAAATGGAAGGAGGCTGACGGACCTGTTCAGGGCTACAAGGTCCGAGTGAGACCAATCTCAGGTGAGTTGTGGGAAAGTTTTGAAAGCAATCCGTCCATCCATAAGCTAACTCCTTCATATTGTAGATAATCCAACACAGGCCCAATACAACCTATTAAGATTGTCAGCATTTTTGAAACTCGATACCACGTGTTTAAAAGTCAGTCTGTTATTTTAATAATAGTAATGGAATTGCAGAAGCTTTACAGTATATAAGAAAAAATAGACTCAGCATATTTCTTTTACAAAAAGCCGCCTTCAGCACCATCTAAATTGCATAAATATGTTGAAACGTTGCCAACATATTTGTGTAATTGATACAGTATGCAGAAGTATGTCTTCAATTTTGGTAATTAACAACACAACATTACCAAGGTAGGGTGCCTACGATTTTTTTGCTGTGCTGATGTCTTTTTGGAGCATCTGCGCATCAGTAATACACTTTCAGAAATCATGGGGGATGTGTATTCACTGTTCCACGATTTGTTACTGTACAAATAAAATTAGCTAACTCAGTCACAAAAACACACACATGCAACACTCAAAACATGATACATCAGTTTTGCATTTGGAGAATAAATGTGTAATATGTTCCTTGATTCTATGTATTTATGCAGCTTGTTTATTCAAAGTTACAGTCACTTCCATATCTTACCATACCTATCTTAGTTTTTTTCGTTTGTAATGTTCATGTTCCAGCTTATGACCACAGGTATGTGTCCACCATTGTTCAAATCATTTTAAGTACCGTTAGCCTTGAGCTGTAATTATTTGGCTTCAGGACCACCATTCGTTTTAGGGCAATTGTTCACAGAAATGGAGCTCAAACAGTGGAGTCACAAATGTGAAGGACCCTGGTTATTCCTTATGTGACTGTTTCTTTAACTTAATTCACTCTAAATTGAATTATTATAATCAAAATGCCATCATTTAAAAAAAAAAAAAGATGTTCAGTTAGCTGCATGGAATACACTCCACCTTCTCAAAAGGGAAGGCATGGACACAGCACCGTAGGTAGTGGCAATGAAGGGATTTCTTTGCAAGGTTAGGAAAGTGTACGAACTCTTGTTCCTGGAAATCTGTCACTTTAAGAACTTTTGCCAGAGCCAAATAACAGTCTTGCTCTGAGATCACTATTTACTGCATTTAAATTAGAGACTGGATTGTTTGTGTCATGGTGCCAACAGAAGCAGGAGCAGCTTTCTCTCTCAGTAGACTGCATCAGAATAGTATAAAAACATGTTCCGGTAAGTTAAAACATTGCATTGCTTCGGAGGATAAAGTATTTTTAGAAGTCACTTCAGCTCAAATCATAGTCACAGGAAGGGTACTGAGGGTGCTTCAGCACCCCCTAAAACCAGGCACAATTAAAACCATAAACTTTTAAAAACATTTACACTACTTTCCATCATTGCACACACATTTAGGTGTTTTTGTGGTTTTCAGCATAATCCAAGTCATCAAAGACATCTGGTCGTCCTGTCAGAACGTACAGCAGAATGAGATGTTTCTCACTCTCACTGCTCTGTTAAAAATAACTGAGAACTGGCATGGCCTATGACCAATACTTAATTAATACTAGTATTAATAATCCTCAACATTAAAATGGATTAATTATTTTCACAACAGAATTTTTCTATTTTCTATTTAGAGAGTCAAGAAATAAAATGCTTTTCACAAATCCAAAACAAATCTGAACATAAACGTTTTATAAAAGTATATTTCTGAATTAGAAGCCTGTGTTTTCACTCCTCTCAAAGTGCCTTTTATCTCACTGTAATCCTGACGGCTTATAAATATCAGCTCTCTTGCTCCACAGGCGATGGTTTGGATAAGAATGCAGCTCCCTCCTTATCATCTTTGATTCTTCCTGCCCTTCTTTCATAACATTGTTTTCTCTTTGTCAACTTCTTATCACTCATTCCACAATGTGCAGCTAAGCCTGGGCTTGTTTAAAAGAGAGACAGAAGGGGGGCTTAGAGGAAGAATTCAGTCCAACATGAGACTCGAGGGGTAGGATCTGAATCTGATCTGGAAGGGGGCAGGGGGGTTTTCTTTAAGAGGAGGAACGAGAAGTACATTTCCTGAGGCTGTTTGTGTCTTCAGTTCATGTCATTCTATGTTTGCTGTTATGTTTTATGCATATGAAGGTTTTATTAGCTTGCTGTGTTGGATGATGTCTTGTTTGTCATGCATCATCAGCCCACTAAGACATGTTTTTACCGATGTTTGTTTAACTGAACACCAGTCAAACTAGAATATGGTGTCCTGCATGGTTATTCTTACAAAACCCATCAGAAAAATCTATCCCTCACTGGGACCATCCCTAGGGTTCAATTTTTGGAGTAATAATTGAAGTCCAGCTCAATGATTTGTAGCTTTGAGTTTGGCCAATTCTCCATTCAGCCAGCTTCATAGCTCTCAGGTTGTTTTTTAAGTGATTGAACATCAACTCTGACTGTGGACAAATTCTCCCTGGATGCAGCACATAGATGTATCCTAAATGTCCTTTCTCAAAGAGGTTAACAACAAGAAGGTCTGAATGTTAACAACTTGTGGTCTTACCTTAAGTAGAGCCCTGGGCAGAGTTTAAGTCCCTTGAGCCATGGTTGTTACTTTCAAACTTTGTTGTTGGTTTGTAACAAGAACTTTTCCTACTACTCCATTGGTATCTCAGTGTCACCCCTCCTGCTTATTCTTTATTCTTTTGAGTAAACATTATCTTAACTGATGCAAGAAACCTTGACTTTGTCTCTCTTTCTCTGGGTCCAAATAATCTTTAGACTTAATCCCTAATAGTTTGGAGGCAAGCCTTCATCAACCTTCTCTCCTCTTTTCCAGAGGTGCCACAGCCAGAGCTGATGCTGACGACCACAAGAGGTCGGGCAACGGTGGCAGGACTTGACTCCAGTCAGGAATACAACCTCCAAGTCCTTGTTCTGAATGGGACGACAGAGAAACTTCTTGCAAAGCGACGATTCACCAGTAAGGAACACAGTACGAGAGTGGGAAAAAATGTAATGTTGGCTAAGAGGAGTGTAGAAGAAATACTGGACAAAGGGAGGTGTCAATAAGAGTTAAAAATCCCATTTTGAGGTAAAACAAAAAACAGGCATTTCTTACAGCATCTGAAAGCTTAGTCCTGCACACTCAGAATGATGATTTTAAATTGGTTTATACATTTTAATCCAGCTCAGTCAGTGTTTCCCAAACAAGCTACAGTTCTTGTATCTACAGTTGAAAGATTTCAAAGTCAACTGTGAGGTAAAAAGACTCTCTAAGCTTCTGTTGACTCAGTTGGTACTGTGAGATATCATTGGCAAGACAACAAAGTCATTAAATAGGAAGTGATGCATTTTTGACATTCATACACTTTTTTTGGAGCTTGCACTGGTTCCTCCTAGTCCATGCCCCATCTGAGCAAATAGATGAATAAGCACACACACACACACACACACACACACACACACACACACACATTCTGCACTGAGTGTGTGGGTATAAATACTACCTTAGCAGAATTACAGACTGAAAATAGGTTTTGTTTGAACTTAAGTGTATACTTACATGAGTTAAATGTGTTCCTGGGTTGTAAAGGCAACTTCCCGAAGGTAACCTTACCACCAAAATCACACATTATGTTATAGCTTTCTACTCACGCTGTTGGGCAGTTAGGGAAGGGCAGCTTGCAAAAAGAAGAGTGCGTAAGTTCATTTGAATGAGGAGAAAAGCTGTGGGAAGACAACATTTTATGGCGTGTCACTTATTTAAGTAGGAATAATCAACAAATCTGCAAACTTGCTGTTCCTAGGATTGTTTCAGACATCTCTCTCTCTCTCTCTCTCTCTCTCTCTCTCTCTCATTGCAGTCATTTCCTATGACATTGACTGTTAATCCCGTCATGAATCTCCGTTTAGTGTTCCCCCCTGAAATGCAAGAAACTTCACTTTTGGCATCTATTGTTGTTCTGTAGTGCTCATTCTGAATTATATAATATTTGATGTAAACCTTGCTGGTAACATAAGGTTACTGTGTTGGGTGGAGCAAGTCCAGGCAAGAGTGAAAAGCATGTTAACTCGGAAAATCGCAACACCGGCTGTCATGCTGGAATGATTGCAGTCTGGGAATTCCTTCCTGATGCGTCTTCACCTTTCCCACCTGCTTTAACCCCCTCTGGGCCCAGTTCTCTATTTGAGCCATGCTAATGATAGTAGGTTACTGTGTCGAGTACATCCTCGGAAATTTCACCCTCAATTTGCCACTTGTGACCTTGTCTTCTAACTCAGGGCAAAGCTCTTTTGACAGGTGAAGCAGTTTGATAGAGAAGAAATCAAACATAGCAAAGAGCTAAAAGGACATACCAACCAGCAAACATGCTCTAACTTCACCTCACGCATCAATTTTATCCCTCTAATCTCAAATGTAATCTGCAAAAACATATTTCTCGAGATAATGAACAGTCCAGTCATGCTTTTGCATCATCAGCACTCAGAGAGCCCTGCAGTAATTTAACACAAGAAGCCGGGGGAAACCAATATTTTACAAATCCGTCAGTGTCAGCAGTTTCACCTGGCATGACTTGTGTTCATATTCTGTGCTGTAACAGCTGATGTGGTGAAGTGTGCGCTCACTTTTTTAAACTTTATTAAATTAAACTTAATCCAATATATGTCAAAGGTATATTGGTGTAAGCAGGATAACACCAGCAACCTCATGAAAACACTCAAATGCAGCATTCTTTAAACTTGAAAGTGCACCCGATTTTAGCATCTGGCATGTGCAGCCTTGTCTAGTTCATTGCCACATTAAACTCCTGTTTAAGCCTACACAAGTCTTTTATTTTAACTGTAGGATTTACAGAAAGTAAAAGTTAATATTCAGTAATAAAAACCCAGCAGTACCACAGAGTGTCTTTGCAGGCTTATTGACAGCGCTGTCAGGGGAACAGGCAATTACTGTTGACAGATATAGAGGAGGTTGTACCACAGTCTGGTTTTTAAGTAGTTCACTGACAGTAAGTACTGTTCTTATGCTGTTGTATTTCCATATTTACTATCACTTTTGTCAGTTTCCACTGTGGTGACTTTTCTGGTCTGTGGTCATTTTGTCACTTGGATTATTAAGTGTACACTACAGCCTTTCTTATGTTGCTTGAGTGATTAATGCCTACACAAAGTGATTTGTGTGATAACAAGTGTCGGAACAAATCTTTGTAAGATAAGTAAAAGTAACAACAACACTGATTATAAACACTCTGCTACAAATATCAGTCAGTAGCAAGATTAGCATCAAAATATAAATTCATGTACTTAAGGTAAAAGATAATCCATAGCTGCTGTTTCTCTCTTCCAGTGGAGGGTCTGCGGGAAGAGGAAATGATCCGCAGCGGTAGCCGAGATCAGAGGAAGAAGATATTGCCAGGCGGGTCCGGGTCAGGAGATCTGGACGACGTAACTGAGGCGCTGCTGGGACTTCCAACAGTTCTGTATCCAGACCCACAACCACAGCTGCTGCTACTACTGCAGGTGAGGCATGCTAGTCGATTAAAGCGCCACATCCCCACATACTGACACACATCTTGGAATAATTATAATATGTCTTTTGATCCTGACCAAGAAAAGTTGAAACTCAGGCCAAACCCAACACATAGTAATACCCCAGGTGCCTCCATATGAGAAGTAATTTGAGAAGAGGACAACATGGGACACTAGTACGCAGTTTTATGTTGAGATAAACTGGAATCAACAACTCAGCTGTAAAATCCTTGTTTTCATTTGTTTAATAAAAAACAAAATTTAAGTCCAGTCAGAATGTCCTTAAATATAACATAGTTGAGGGTAATCTACATTGCTTGGAGAAAAACTCACTCAATGTGAACTTTACTGTCTGACTAAATCAAGTTTATTTTATCACAGACAATCATACAACATGCTACCACAAGGATATAATCCTGAAATGTTGTTCAAGTCTTCTATTTAAGAGACTAGAAAAAAAGTCAAAATAAAAATGATTTTCAGAATAGGAATAGTAACGATTTTTAGTAAATGATTCAGGCAGCTGTCTTCCTGAACTCAGCAGAGATAAATCAAAATATTTGGAGTGGTTGGGATCCTTAATTATCCTCCAAACGTTAATCTTTCTTGCATCACTACCCTATTATATTTTCAGCAGTTTTTTTCTGTGGACCTCATTTATCATTTTAGAAATTATACCCCAACGCCTATGTTTTAGTGTGGCACATTCAGGCAGGATTAGCAGAGTCTCTATCTTATTGAATTAACTGGTATTAACTGGTATTATCCCCAGGATATCATTTGCAAAAGTATTGCATCACATTCACTTCCTAGCTTTATCACTAATAATAAAAACTTTCGGAACTGCATTCCTCTATGTACGTCATCCACACAGACTGTAAACAATAATGGATGAAGTTACTGCAGGGCGGTTCGCAATGTTGGAAATGCTGTTTCAACATAACTTTCAGTTTAACGAACGAGCTGACACTCAAGATTCTGCACTTCCAGATCAGATTCATTTTTCAACACTGGAGGTTGCTGCTTTGTCATTCCTTTAATCATTTTGAGATTTCCCTGTTTTTAAGGATTTGAGCTTTCCCTTTTTGTGAATCCGTCTCCATGCTGTATTGTCAGATGTGCCTCCTGAATTTGCACCCCAAAATACTCTCGCTACTTTCTTTTATAATTTCCCAAAAATCCAGTGCATTTCTGGAACAGAAAAGGGGAAAAAAGGTGACAAAAAATAGTTATAATAACACCCAAACTTATATATATTATCAGAGGATATTTGATATTTTATGAAATATTGTAGGTTATAGTTTTTTTTTCTTTACTAATTCTGGCTTACAGCTGCTTCTGGTCTTCCATGGCTTTTCGTTATCACACTATGTGGCACAGAAGCACAAATTTAAAATCAAACTAGAACACACGAGTATATTATGTGTAGTATACAGTATTCATGAACGCTTACACCGAAACGCTTTGAGCCAAATACACACACACATTAATGACCAGCTGCAGTAGGTGTAACACAGGAAATAAAAGTTGGAACGAGATGGAAGAAAGGTAGGCCTGGAGCCCTGTGTTTATGTGTTAACAGTGAAATAATGTTTCTCTCACGTGTCCCTTTGATATGTTTGAAGTTAGAGCTGATGTAAAAAGATTTCCTGTCACATTCAGCTTCAACTGTTCCCTGCATCAATCAATGTTTATCTTACTAGAACCTCACTCATGTTCCTGTTTACTCTCTTCTCCAGATCCCCCAGCTGAAGAAACCCCCTCTCAGCTTCCTGATGAGACCCCAGAGACAAACCCTAAAGAAAAGAGAAAAAGAAAGAAAGAGAAGGAACGAGACCGTACAAAGATGGAGAAAAAAGAAGAGCAGGGGACGACGCAGGGCAAAGCAGCAGAGGAGAAACCCCGGAAGACAACGTTCCCTACCCAGCCAGTTACAGGTAACCTCTGCTCTCCAGTGTTAGACTAATAAAAGACTTCTAAATGCTTATTTTTGTGACGTTTGTTACGTTAAAGAACCAAAACATTACAGTAATGATTATCACAACTTCCTTCAGTTAGTTAAGCTTGTTATCAGAACGTCTGGCTGTTATTGTCTTTCCTCTTTTAAAGAGTCAGGAACAAGAGTTGAGAGCTGCAGTAAGTGTCGGTTTGAAATGTGATGACAGTGTTCAGTCAAGGGAGGGACAGGTAGAAGAAAGGATAATGACAGGCCGTCCTGTTCCGCTGCAGGGCTGCATGTGTCCTCTCTCATTCTCATTCATAGTTAAGGGGAACACACAGATATTCACATGCATTGAAACATGCTCCTGTTCATGTTTGCACCATGTCGACACATGTACATAGTCGTCACACGCCCACATTTCAACACCTGCATCCACTTTATGCCTGAGTTAATTCATAAAACTCTCTGTTTGCCCATTTAAAAACTGTGCACAAATGACAGAGAATATACCCAGTTCTTTGATTTGTTCAAATATGTTCTGCCTTTAATCAAGGTATTTCTCCGAGGAGGCCATTTGAGTGTGAGAGCAATGCAGCAGCGGACGTCATGTTGTTGGTGGACGGCTCTTGGAGCATCGGACGCACCAACTTCAGACGGGTCAGAGACTTCTTGGAGGGCCTGATGACACCCTTTCATATCGGACCAAACCACATTCAAATCGGTGAGGGTTGGAGTTTGTGGGAACTTTCTCTCACATTATCGTTCAAACTGAATGTTAAGGGATTGAAGAGTTGTATACAGTAGGTCATGACAAGAACTATGTGTATGTTTTTATATACCACCATATTGTAACTTAGATTATTATGACAACTTTATTGCAAGCTAGGGCTTGATTTTTTTGAAAAATGTTCATGATGACTGACCAATTGGTCCTCCTATGGTGAGTTATTTGTGATCACACCCCAGTCAAACCCTCGTACATTTTTTTTTTTTTGGCCATTTTTGGCTTTATTTTAAAGGACAGCTGAAGACAGGAAATGTTGGGAGAAAAGAGAGGGCGGGTAAGACGCAGCAAAGGGCCAAGGTCGGATTTGAACCCACGGCCGCTGCATCGAGGACTACAGCCTCTGTACTTGGGAAATGCGACATAATCGCCAAGCTACTGTTGCCTCAAACACCCGTACTTTAAACAAACACTCTAGGTTCTTACTTTAGAGTCAACCTAGACACCTCAGAGAATGACCACAGCAACCACCTGGAACACCCTTAAACCACTTATTTTAAGCCCAGAAACCAGCCAGGACACATTAGCAGCCACTAAATGACTACTTATCATTCCTGAAGTAACCACCTTTTACCAGCCAATCACTTGCAAGGAACACCATTAAAGCCAGCGTGCAAACACTTACAACCACCTTGTACTCACTTGATATCAGGCAGGAACTAACAAAGCTGTAGGACTGATACACAATTCATGCCACTACTTCAGCCTAAGATTATACGTACCCTTTGAACTTCATCCCTCATTCTGTTACTCCTACCTTTCATCATCTTTAAACTGCTCCTCACGGCATTGTTTTTACGATACAGCATGTCAATGGCCAGCAATCATACAGCATCTTCTTTGTAAAATGATTGACCTTAAATCAACATTACACCTACTTTTCTTTTTCATTTTTTGGCATGTGATTGAAAAGGTCTAAAATGGAGTATCACTTGCCTACATCATAAGCTCAATATTTATTTTTTTCCTCTTAAAAGGTGATACAATGAAATGAAAAAGAGATGTGTTTTCACTTTACACAATAGCATGTCACACAGAAACAAAACAAATCTGTTAATCTTGTACAATATTTGATTCGTCCCAGGTCTGACCCAGTACAGTGGAGATCCACGCACAGAGTGGCAGCTCAACAACTTCACCACTAAAGACCAGCTGTTAGAGGCGGTGAGGAATTTCAGATATAAAGGAGGAAACACATTTACAGGTAAACACACATCAAACGCTTACAACATGGTGCTCATTTGTTTCTGTGTCTCAATCCTGACATTTTTTGTTCTAACATTAGCTCCTGATAAATACATGATGTACACAGCAGAATATATGTACTCTTTTATGTCCAGGTCAGGCACTGCTTCATGTCATGGAGGAGAACATGAGGCCAGAGGCAGGTGCCAGGGCAGACGTACCGTTTTTTCTGGTCTTGTTGACTGATGGGAAATCTCAGGATGATGCCATTGCTGCGGCAAACCGGCTAAAGAACGCCGGTGTGGAGATCATCGCTGTAGGTGAGACTGAAGAGAACACTCTATCTTCTAGCACAGGGAAGGGAAACTGTGGCCACATGTGGACCCCTTTATCAGTTACTGCGGCCTGTGAGTCCATTTCAAATGTTAAAGTGTAAACATTTAGAAAATATGACAAAATCTGCCGTGAAGTATTTCAACTTAAGTTGCCGAATACAACAACAACAAAATCAAATAGTAGAAGCATTAGAAAATAAGAAATTGAATTTGTACATAATAATCTTTGATTACTGGTCATTTTTTTCTGCAAAACTCCCTGATGAAGCATAACTAAATAAAATAAAAGTAGAAAGTAGTAGAATAAACTTCAATAACAGTAAATAGTCTGTTCATTGCATTGAAAAAGAAGCTCAAATTGTCTTAAATGTTGTTTTGCTGATTAAATTAAGTATTACTATTTGCATTTGAGTTTTAAAAAATATCAATGTAAAAACATTTACAGATGTATTGATCCACTTTAAAAAAAAATTCAGATACGATTCGGATACATATGACCCGATTTAAAAAAAATAATAGTTAATGTTATTGTTGTTGTTGGTATCATGTGTAAGGCTACACAAAGCTGTAGTAATAATAATAATTTATACTTTATTAATCCCACAAGGGGAAATTAAGTTTTTACACTCTGTTTAATGAACATGAACACACACATAGGTCGAAATCCCAGTATTGTATTTCTTATTGAAAGAGCAAAAATAAATAAAAGAATAAAAATGCATAAAAATTTAAATGTTTCCAAATAAATGTTTTTAACTTTGTGATTGCTTCACATACGAACAGGAAGCAGCAACAACAGTAAGGTTTTCATATTAAATATTATAATCTGAAGTGAAATAATTGTACTTTCTATCATATACTGTTGATGTAGCTGTTTCATCTTGTCATCTTGATGTAGAATATTTGTGGGCAGTTCTGTCTGAATGTCTTCAAAGCGAGACTGTACGATTAAAATGTCTTTCTTGATCGGTGACGTGGATCTGCACCTTCAGTCCAACATCTGATACGTAAATAGCGTCAATATTGGACCTGTTGACAATATTAGATCGGATCTGAACACAAAGTTTTATGTGTCCCTCTTGGTAATTATAGTAGCCCATCCCTGTTCTGGCACTTTTTAGGGCTCTTGTTTACTTTAAAGCAGTCCCATCATCACCTGCATTTCTGTGCACACTCGACTGTAAATAATAAAAAATGTTGTTTGTTGATACAGCCACGGGGCTTTTAGAGGAGTGTAACCAATAATAAGCTGATGTGGTTTTATTGATATGATACAATGCAGTTTCTGACATGTTCTCATTGTTCTGTGTTTAAAGGCATTTTTTGCTATCTGTGTTTTCTTCTTGTGCTTCACCGATTGAACCACTTTAAAAACTCTGTGTTATTCAGGTGTAAAGAACGCTGATGAAGCGGAGTTGAGACAAGTGGCGTCGGAGCCGGTGGATCTGAATGTCTACAATGTGAATGACTTCCCTCTGCTCAGTAAACTGGTGGCAAGGCTGGTCCACATCCTGTGTGGGAGGATAGAGGACCGTGGAGTCTCTAAACGTGAGCTATCTGCCTATCAATGTGTAGGTCTGTCGTGTTGAGGTTTAATGTGCTCATTCAGAGTTGCTTGCTTTTTCTTATTAATTTTTTTAGGAATGGATCCTGGACCTACAGCAGACCCCGCCCTCTCTTACCCAAGTCCTATGGATCTACGGTTTTCTGAACTGGGTTCACGAGAGGTGAAGCTTCACTGGACCAATCCTGCCAAGTCAGTCCAACAGTACAGAGTGGTCTACCACAGCGCCGAGGGTCAGAGTCCACAGGAGGTTAGATCTTTGAATAGATCTTTAATTCACATGAATTATCGTCATGTTAGGTTGAGGACAAAAACACATTTATTTAGATATGCCTTAAAGAATGTCAGTTCCATGAAGCCTCTAAATCTTACTTTACATTGTATTCAAATTCTTGAGTACATGAAGTTTGAGCTCTCTTTAAAGGAATGTGTGGATTAAGTCTTTAGTTTTTGTTTTTGTCTTCTCCATGGTAATTTGTCTAACAGAGTCACCGAGAACACAACACCAGGTCAATGAGCCCTGATCGCCTTTCAATTTATTCATTTATTAATTCCCTTTCATTTAGTTTGCAAATTAAACACATTTTCTGTACGAGTAGCCTTCATTTGAAATGAATACATATTATAACAGAATATTTAATGTCAAAATAAAAATGTTTAATGCATAAATTGTAAGTGTACGTGATGTTCTGCCTTTAGGTGGTATTGGCCGGCTCTGAGTCCACGGTGCTTCTGAAAGACCTTTCTTCTCAAACACTGTACCACATGTCCATCTTTCCTGTGTATGAAGACAATGTTGGCCTGGCGCTACGAGGAACTGTCACTACATGTAAGTCTGACGTCATTCTAATCATCGTAGTTTAAGAGATTTATTTTTATTTTCATCCTTGGCATGAAAAGAAAAAACGCTGTTGTTTCTGCTGATCCTCTACTTCTCTGCTCATCTTTTCTTTTCCCTCTCATGTCACTCAGTGCCTTTGGGCATGCCTACCAACCTGGAGGTGACTCCTTCCTCTTTCAGCAAGCTGAGAGTGAGTTGGGATGCAGCACCGGAGGCGACGCAATACATGATCCTGTACTCAGCTCTCAACCACGGAGAGCCAGATGACGCCAAGGAGGTAAGACCTCCAACTTTCCAGCAGACATGCCGCTAAAAAAAATTATATCGAACGAGGCAGGGAAGAGCAGGATTTGGTTTCATTTAAAAAAAAAAGATACACATGGACAAATTTAGGTAAATATAACTATACTTTATTGAGAATTATAAACAAATGAGACAATTAGTAAAATGTTTGGCCATTTCTGCGTTAATGACGACCACATCATTCTTACCTTTGAATCACAGCTATGCCTGCTGTCTTCAATAGTTATAATGTAATAAATACAAATATCAGCAAATCCCTGTTTCCCCTGAATCGCCCCCTAGTAATAAAATCAGGTTCTGATGTTTGTTTGTAAGCACTTCTCTACAGAAATTCATTGTAAGCTTACATTAAGGATTGTCTGCAGGTTTGTTACAATGTAGCCACCGTTCCATCACGAATTGATGTGGGCAGACATGCTGAAAATACAAAAAAACTTTAACTGTTTTTTTCTTCATTGCTGTAGGAGAAATTCAGGGCGGACCAGACAGTGGTGGAGCTTGCAGGGTTACTTCCGTCAACAGACTACTCCGTCACTCTTTACGCCCTCTATGACGAGGACCCGAGTGATCCTGTCACTGCTGTCGCCACCACACGTATGAAACACCTCTCAAACTAAGATGATCAAGGATCACTAAGAAAATAAATCCCTTTAGTACACTGACGGCCCAATAATCAGTCATTGCCTTTATGTTCCTCTTCCATCCTGTTTTAAATGGAACGGTTTTGTCCACAGTCCCTCTTCCACCACCAGTGAGTGTTTCATTCCCGATGGTCGCCCACAGTATGATGAGGGTGAGCTGGGTTCCTGGAGCTGTGGACGTCCCTGCCCACAGAATCATCTACAGCACCAACCATGGCAGCGACGTAAAACAGGTGAGAAAAAACAACAACAATCTGACCCCGAAACAATGCCCGGAACTCAGATTTTGTTTTTGTTGATAAAGATAATCATACTTTATAAAAAAATATATTTTTAACCATTCCTGTGAGGCTTTTATTCAGAGAAACTGTTATTTCTATGATTTCAGGCCAACATAATGCAGAGGAACCGAATCATTGCGGGCTGTAACATCCATAAAAAAATCTTTTTTCCCTTCCGTTCTCAGTCTTCAAATGCAATGTGTAAAACAGCTTTGAATCAGAAGATAAATAAGTTTAACTTTAACTAACTGCACTAAAAGATATTAATTTTTAACAGATATGCATCAAAAATGAGCTTTTTATGAAGTGTGTCTGGTTGAAGAACTGCTGTAAAGCTGCAGAGTCTTTCTTATGGTGTGTGAAATGCTAGTAGAGATTACTTTATATCACACATAGTCATGTGGCTTAGATTGGTTTCCTTTTTATAAACATGGGTGGGTTCTCTACTTTCATTTCAATGTACGCAAAAGTTGTGTTGACATGAAGCATTTTCTTTTACTAGACACTTAAAAGCTAAAAAAAAGGTTTATTTCTGAAGAAGAGCAGTGTGTATTGTAAACTCCTTCAGTCTGTGCACACATTAACTCAGTACACAGTTTTGGTCTATCAGAAGTAAAGCGTCTGGAATTAATGTAATGTAGAAGTTATTGTTACAACAGCAAATGAGACCACAGATAATTATCTGGCGCCAAGTTATGAAGTTATAAAGTTATGAAAATACTGTCATATCATGTGTCTCTCTCCCAACAGACTGAAAACAAGCCAGTTACAGCATGTCCGCTGCTTTTAAGAATAGGAACGTGAAAGATCCTATTTTATGACCTTTTTTAAACCAGATTTTTAACTGACCATGCACAAATGTTATTCTCAGTTGAAGAGTTTAAGATATGGCTCATAAATCTTTTTGCATAGTAAAAATGTTCTTCACCAGTCAAAGTGTTGCTTGTGTATAAACCAGTGTTAATGCAAAGTGTACATTTCATATTCAATCTCTTTTCAGGTGGATGTAACAGGGCTGAACTCAGTGATGGTGCAGAACCTGTCCTCTCTTTCCAGATATCTCGTCTCAGTCCAGTCTCAGTACCCTCAAGGCCTGTCTGTGGCACTCACCAGTAACATCACCACGTGTAAGACAGACACATACACACTTGTGCTTGAAGGCATTGTCTATCTTGCTGCCTGTCTTGGTCAGGAAACTCTCTAAAAAGAGATTTTTAACCTCACTGAGGCTCTCTAAACTCATTTTGAACAGAGCAGCAGAGAAAAGAAACATTCTATTTTCTCACACTTTGTATTTATCTCCTAGTGAAGGTGCCTCCACCATCAGACCTCAGGGTGACTAATTTCTCAGGGAGTGACATCACTGTGCGCTGGGAGGCTGCAGCTGATGATGTCGTCTCCTACCTCATTAAGTGGATCTCTCTCAACAGCGGAGACCTGAGACAGGTGGATATGAATTATTAGATGCATAGGTGATGTGTAAGATGTTCAATAAAGTGAATATGATTTGAATCAAATGGTGCTTTTTGTCCCTGTCTGTTTATTGTAGCTGAAGGTGAGTGGTGAGAGTGAAGGGGTGATCCTTGAGGGAGTAGAAGACGATAAGGAATACCAGATCTCTCTGTCCGCGCTGTACGGTGACGGAGCTCAGAGTGAAGCTGTGGCCATACGATACAGCACATGTGAGTCAAACACACCAACACAGTCATAAATAGAATATATATTAAGCCTGTTTAACCTCAGTGTGTTTAGCGCCCTCTGTTGTTGGGGAGTTTGTATTACTCAGGTGAGGTCATTTCTCATTTGTGGGAAAATTTGTATATGCAATAAAGAAGCTAAGGTGTTAGCATGAATGATGATAAGAAGAATACTTTGTCTAGATAGGTGGACCATTCAGGAGACGGTGAAAGTCTGAGGGCCTCTGGTGGATTTGTTGAGAATAGCACCTAAAGACCTGGGAGTAACAGGATGAGGGCTAAAGAGGAGGATCTGTGAGATAGACTTGATAATTTCTTTGCTCAGCATTGAACCTTTTATCATATAATGTTTTGCATTGCTGCATCTCCAATCTTGTTGGGGCCTCTGATGATTTAAATCATCAAAGAGGATACACTGATTTGATTCATGTTGTGTCTAAAACAGAACTATGATGCATGTAAGTGGCTCATACAAACCCTTTGTACTTTATGCTTTGCTTTGTGTTCAGTATAAGTGCCACTTAATTAGCAGAAGGGCAGTGTGGCATGCCTTGAAGGCACATGCGCCTTTCTACCATGTGCAACAGATTGTACACTGTCCTAAAACTAATCTGAATTTCAATGAATTGGTCAAATGTCACTTATTTTTCGTTTTATCTGTACAGTGTCTGGAGGAGGCCCATCCAGTGTATCTGTCTCTGAGGAGACTGCAGTCAGCATGGTGGTTACCTGGATACCCCCCAATGCTCATGTCCTTCAGTATCGTGTATCTTACACTGCGCTAACTGGAGCCGAAAGTCAGGACAGAATGGTGAATTGCTACTTCTTAGGCCTCGTTGTCCTGCATGTTGACAGATTACATTAAACCGTTGCTCTGTCACTGTTTGAACAAATGGTTCTTCTACTTCAAAGCTTACCGTTGAGTGTCTTTGTTGTGTACAGGTGTTGGTTTCGGGAGGTGAAAGGCGGGTGGTGCTAGAGTCATTACAGCCAGACACACGTTACAGCGTCCTGGTCACCGCTGAGTACCGCAACAGAGAAGGAGGCAGTGGATCTGCTCAGGGCAAAACTAGTGAGTCCAACACACCGAAAGAATACACAGTCCTTTTTGAAAATCACTACTATAAGAAAGGCAGTTATTATATGTGAAAGGCCATAGCTTTTTCCTTGCTGGGAGGGTAAAGGAATATTGTTTGCCCTGAGTCTCTTTGCCTACCTCCGCTGGTCGCTTTGTTTCTTTAATTATGATGTCTATGATGTGTTTTTTAAAATGCATGATTATGACCTATGGAGGGAGAAAAGATGGTAAAAAGTGGCACTGCCAGCCTGGTCTGTGTCACTATGTTTCCCATTACACCTTGCAATACACAATGAGTTGGGGCACATTTTCAATCCCAATGCAGTGGGTGATGCTGCACCTACAGTCATGATGGTGCGTGTGTCCACATTTTTTGATGGTATCTTGGTCCCTTAAGTATATAGGATGCAACCAACCTTTTAGATGATACTTCAGATTTTAGGGTATGTTTAAGTAGTTATTGCTTACAAATGCTGGATAAAAAAAATAGCAGTTTGTCTCGAAAGGGAACTCGACTGATTAGAAAAGATTGTTTATAGTTTTGGTAAGTTCTTTTGCCCGCGGGGAAATTGTATGCAAGTCTTTTTTGTTTCAGAGGGAGCCCTCTGAAATCTAAAAAAAATCTGTCTCCCACTGTCTCTACAGCCAGTCTGCGTGTTAGCAGTGTGAGTGTGGTCAGGTCAGACCACTCCAGCATCTGTGTGTCCTGGAGAGCTGTGTCTGCTGTTGATGGATATCGCATCGTCATCCAGTCTGTCAAAGGTAATCCGTTATAGAGCCTGTGTCATTTTTCAGAAATGTCCCTGAATTATATAATGCACTGTTAATCGATGCGTTGTTGTGTATGTTTGTGGTCTATGTCTTCCCTGTGTTTAGACAAACAAACAAAAGAAGAAACTGTGGACGAGTCCACCAGCAGTCACTGTTTCAATGATCTGGAACCAGAAACTCTCTATCGCATCAACGTGCACTCTCTTCTTGGATCAGAAGAAGGCTCTGCCGTCTCCATTCTCCATCCAACAGGTGTGATCTGGTCTCTGCATCACACACAGTATGTTCAAAGTCAAAGGTAGTTGGCTAACCATGAAAGCCAGGCTTGCACATTTAAATTCAACCAATACAGTATATGCAATATTTACACGTGGCAATAATTCTAGGTGTTCCCTCCACAAAATATAACTAACTCACTGGTTCATCTAGACCAGGGGTTCCCTTCCTTTTTTCCTTGGAGCCCCCTGTACTTGTATCAAAGAAAAGCTAAGCCCCCCCCAAATTAATGATTTCTTTAAATCTGAAACAGCTTCAGCTCCGTCAAGAATTCCCATCTCTCCGCGGCTGTATCCTATTCATAACGAAGGTAAGCCTGAACCATTTCTCATTTTCTGTAGAGACATGAACATTAATCACATGTGTAATACATTTGGAACATTGTTTGGGTCCAAACTGAGCAGACTTTCTTTGTGTTTGAGTACCAAAAACCTCCTGCAGGTCTGGTCTTACTGTGAAATGAATCTGTTTTTATATTTATTTGATGTCCTGATGTCATTTTGAGTCTTTGAAAAACAAGTCCTAGTAATCATGAGGATTGGCTTCATTCTTCATTTTTCATTTCATATACATTTGCTGTTACAATGTATTTAAACCCTCCTAAAATGGATTGCCAATAGCTGTGTGTGTGTTTGTGTTGCCTGAAAATAGTAAATAAATCTCTTTAACTAATGGTTTCTATGGAGTTCATAATGATGTAACACTGCCCTATGTGTTGCAGTCTGCCCTGAAGTCACTATCAGAAACAGCATTGTAAGAGGTAAGACAAGCTCTTCTCACACATAACTTTTCCTCCATGACATATCAGATTTAAAGATTTAATAATCTGCCTCATGTTGTTACAAATGTTACACATGATTTATTTCTATCACGTGTTTGAAATCTCAGGATATGACATGATGGAAGCTTTTGGCCTGACTCAGAAGGCTCACTCTTCGGTGGACGGCGTGGCAGCTGAGCCTTTTGTCTTCAACACTCTGCCCACATTCACTCTGTACAAAGACGTTCAACTGACACAGAGCACCAAGTGAGATCTCCCCTCCTACTGATTTTACTATGACTTCTACTTTGTTGAAAAAGAAATGTGGAAGTGCAAAAAACTGAAGAAAAAAAAAAAATCCTTGAGTGTCCACTTGAGGCTGTCTCCAAAACCCAGAAATCTCTATTAGTTATGTGTTAAATGTTAAAATGCCTTTTTTACAGCAGAATTAAACATGTTAACAGTCTGGTTAAAACAAACAAATTTGGTATCATTAGCTCATTCATTTAATGGTACACGATTAAGGCTGTGGCTCAGTGGTAGAGTCAGTCTTCTCTCAACTGGAAGGTCGGTGGTTTGAACCCCAGTTCCTGCTTCACATGTCAAAGTGTCCTTGGGTAGGACACGGGGCCCCAAATTTGGTCTGCGGCATGTGAATGTGTGTGAATGGAATAAGTTAATACCAATGGATGTTTCACACTGCAGCGTCTGCCATCATTGTCTGACCTACATGTAAAAAGCACTCTGAATATTCAAGAGACGAGGAAAGCATGATACAAGTGCTCATGTATCATGTGTGAAAAGAAAAGTCTAAAGAGCAGCACCTCTCTTCGGGCTGTGAGCCAAATGTCTGCGATCGCACGCACTGCACTCGTGGAAATGTATCCGAAATGTTCTGGGCTCCATGTGTGAACGCAAAAGGCCAAATCTTTTCAGCCTTTATTTTATTCTGACTTTTTCCTGCCAGCCTTCTAGTAAAATTTCAGCAAGAAGTCAGGGTGGGCAGATGTGTGATCACAGCAGGTATCACTCAAGAAAATTCACCACGAGCGAGTGGGTGGGAGTGTTGACGTTTGTATCATGAGACGAATGTAAAACCTGTGTGATCTTCATGCACGTAACGAGGCTGCTCTGTACTCTTTTCAGCTTGCTGTATTCTTTTCCACTCTTGATACTGTGAATATGTCGAATTACACATTGTATAGATATAAAGGCAACAACTGTCACCAGTAGCATTACTCTGTGCTGCTTTGCAGGTGAAATATATCACCTCACATTACAATGTTTTCTCTCTGTCCTTTTTTTTATCTTAACGTAAACGGTTCCATTAAAAGATGGGACGGAGCAAGTCCCTCTACCTTTACATGAATTCATTCTTGTTTTCCTCTCCCCCTTCAGGTTTATCCACCCTTTAGGCTTCTCTCCGGAGCACACCATCAGCATAGCCTTCCGCCTGTTGCAGGATACACCCAGAGAGCCCTTCGCCCTCTGGCAGCTGACTGATAATGACTTCCAGCCCATGATGGGAATAGTGCTCGACCGTGAGTAACACCTCTGAATGTCACTTTCTCTAAAACGACACAAGTTCATTTTGTATCATCAAGGTCTCACAGCACTGATGAGATGTCCCGTTTTCACAACTTCTTAGAGACCTTCCTTTCTATTTTTTTTAAAAGTAGTGTTTCCAATCATTCCACAATTCTAGCTTTAAATTGTCAATTTTTTGTGCTACTTCTGTTTCATCTTATCTCTCTGTCTTTCTCTAAAGTTTTTTTTTATGCTGAATATTTTCCTCTGTTTTTGTCCTTCTTACAGCTACGACCAAGCAGCTGGTGTATTTCAGTCTAGACTACAGAGGAGAAGTACAGAAGCTAAGTTTTGACCAGCGGCAGGTCCACAGACTGTTCTATGGCAGTTTTCACAAGGTGAGAGAAAAGAGGACTGAAGCTTCACTTTTATTAAGCTGAAAAATAATAATTATTCTAATTGATTTCATGTTAGCTTGAGTAGCAATCTTTCCATCCATCCAATGTGACACTTATTCACCTTTGTGTTATTAGACTTTTTAAAACTCATAATAATATGAAATGATGGAAAGGTTAAGGAGATGGTTTTGACTCAATATATAGCAAAGATCAATATCTGAAACATTATATACTACACAATATGAATATATTATTTCTGCATTACTGATTATTCATCGCTTGAATAGCAATCCATGAAATACTTTATTTGTATTTACAGGTCAGATTTGTATCAACATTAACAGTTTGGATCTGAGGGAAAGACTAAAGTCCCGCTTCACTTTTACACAAACTTTAGACTCAAACCTCTTCCAGCTCTTTTGTCTTCACAGAGAGCTCAGGACATTTCTTTGGTTGGTTAAGAGTAGCTTGTTAGAGTCTTCCATGGCTGCAATACAGAGAAAGTCATGGGGACACATCATGGGGAGACATGTTTGCAATACACAAGGAGAGCGTTTAATCAAAATTAGAAAAGAACACAAACAACATATCACTGAGAAAATGTGAGGATTTTAATAAGAATGAATAATGAGGTAGATGTAGGACTAGTCCTTTTATCTGATTTGTTATTCCTGAGAAATGCAGCTTCTCCTGATCATGGCAGGAGTAGTGGAAGTAAGAGACTATAAAACTGTGATAATCTTGAGACTCAGCATAAAACTTTTTACCTCAAAAATAATTTGGGATTTGATGTTTATTAAATAACCTGTGGCTTAATTTGATCATTGTTCTTGCTCCTGGCAGATTCACCTTTCTGTCAGCCAGGTGAGTGTGTTCCTTTCCGTGGACTGCCAGCTTGTGGGTGAGAGGCCTGCCCGCCCTCTAGGCAACCTGCCGACTGATGGCTTTGAGATGCTGGGAAAACTGGTGAAGACCAGAGGACCCAACAGTGGATCTGCACCGGTATTTTAAATTCAATCCAGCCCCTTTCAGACCTGTAAATGATTTATACACCCTGAACAAATCTGTGCTCAGCAGCAGCTTGTGTCCTGTGTTTTGCGTTGTTTCTAGTTCCAGCTGCAGTCCTTTGAAATCATCTGTAACACCACCTGGGCTACAGAAGACACCTGCTGTGACCTGCCCGGAGTGGTCAGTCTGTTACTATTTACACCAACCTTTATTCAGTTCTGTTCATATGCGTACTGTGAGCTGATATTGTGTTTGAACCATCATATGAATGTAAGCACTAAGGGCTTATTCCATTATCATTGCATTGCTTTTTTGCAATATGGACTGAAAAGCACAAAACTTGCTGCTATCAAAACTTTTCCGAAGTTGTTTCTCAATATTGTCAGAGTACAGTGAATGTCAAAGGCTGGTGTAATGTTTTCACTCTTTATGTCTCTCTGTCTGCATCAGAGCGATGAGGAGAGCTGTCCTGCACCAGCGTACACCTGTACCTGTTCTTCTGATGTCCCTGGAGCTCCTGGTGTACCTGGACAAACAGTACGTCACCACAAGACCTCAAAGAGGTCTAGAATACTGGCTTAGTCATTGCTTGTATCATCTTGTTGTTTTGCAACATGTTAAAATTCAACACTTTGCATTTTCACAGGGAAAGCCAGGACCTCGCGGTGAGAAAGGCGAAAAGGGAGACCAAGGCCAAAAGGTGAGATACACATTTTTATTCAGCTTAGTCCATGTCTGTTCAAACCGCTTTCAGTGCATCATGTTGCCTTTTTTTTTTTTTCTATTCAAAGAAAGAGGAGGGAGGAGGGGGGTCCTTCAGATACAAAGACCCAAGTTTAGACTTTTGCCTCCTTAAGGCATCAAATTCATAATTGGTGCTTTCACGCGTGCACAGACTTCCTGAAACCTTCCTGAAATTTCAAGGTTTAGCTGCAACAGCAAAGTTTTTGACTCTGACCTACACCAAAGTTACCTCCCAACCCCCCAGTACATTTTTCGGGTGAGCTAATGTGAGAACGCAGCAGGAAATATTCAGGAACATTCCCTGTGAGCAAGTAGGAGGTTTTCTTCTGGTGATATCACCTGAAGAAGACCTCTGGTAATGAATTACAATACTACTGAATGTTTTCAAAAATCATTTGAACAAACTGAGTGGTACTTGGATGCTGGCAACTTGAAATGACTCAGTGTCCAAGCTGAAAAAACATATATCTTGTTTTTTAGAGGAATTATTCTGATGTTTGGTGATTTTCTCTGTGTTTCAGGGAGAGGTGGGTCCTCCAGGGAAGCCTGGACTGGAGGGAGGTCTTGGACCCCTGGGCACCATCGGGCCCCGAGGCATAGCTGTGTCAGGCAAAGTGGTGAGTAACCCTCTTAGCTTTAAATATGTACCTGTCGGCTAACCATGGTAGACATATTGCTGAGGTACTCTTTCAGTGTCTTTTGTTTTCTGTTTGTGTTTCGTGTTTTTTTATTACAACTCCAGTATTTTGTTTACAACATACTCCTGTTTTTTGTTTTCATTTTTGTCCTTTTAGGGTCCACCAGGTGCGAGAGGGGCAAGGGGAGAGTCTGGGCGACCTGGACTTCAGGTGGGTTTGACCTGAAACAGTGGGACATAAAAATACAGACAATTAATAGAAAAAATGTATTCCTCTTCCTCACACTGTTGGCCAACTAAAATATCTGCCCCTCATTGTGCTCCATCCAATCATTTGTCTTCCTCTGAAGGGCTCACCAGGGCCTCCAGGTCCAAAAGGTGAAGAGGGTATTCCTGGACCAAAGGTGAACTGCCACTGTCAGCTGTTCTTCATGATGGTTGAGTGAAGAAGTGACCGTACCTCCCTCTGTATTTGTGTCCTCATCTCTCTGCTCTGTGTTTGACAGGGAATAAGGGGGGTTGAAGGAAACATGGGTGGACCCGGACTCACTGGACCCAGGGTAGGACTCATTTTAAGTCCAAAATGTGTGAAATTTAAAGCACCTGTCAGTATGTTGTGTATTTTCTTTATTCAGAAACAGATTGCCATGAAGTAAAGACTCAAATCTGTATGAAGCGTCGCTGCTTGCCAGGTTTTATGTAGGATCAAAATGTTGGTTATTTTGTCTGTCACTCTGTTTTGGTGTCATGTATGGTGCTGGTAGAAATGACCTTTCTGACCTGAATTGAATCCAGCATAAGGGGCCAAATGTATTATAACCTGGCAGCTACCTGACAGCTGAGCCCGCGACCCCCCTGACCTCTCCTGTCTAGACACAGGAACAGTCTATATTCACAAGATGTGTTTGTATTATTTAGTCATTATTTGCAGTCGTTTTTATGGATGCTTTGACAGTGAATTGATTATTTGATAACTGAGTATATGATCATGGTGTCTTCTGAACACTGTTGAGGGAAATTACAAATAATGGAACCAGCTTGAACCCAATGCTCAAAGGTTTTCAGACTCACATGTGAATACATGATGCTCACCGTTTCTTGCCGACAGAATGACGCTCTTAATCATTATGACTTGAATGGTATCGTTAAAAAACAAAACAATTATTGCAGAAAAAAAAAGTATAAAAAAGAGCAATCTTTATTTAAAGGTTTGTTGAAGGTTTGTTGTTGTCCTTCTTTTAAATGATCAGATGTTAACTGGATGGTTTATTATAAAATATTATGATAAACCCGAATTGACCTGTTATCTGTCATCACTTCAAGATGAAACGTAAGTAGTCTAAACTTAAGGAGACTGATCAGTCTATCCATCAGATTTTTATTTTATTTTTACATTATACATTCGTCTGTTTGTTTTGTACAGGGTTTCCAAGGAATGCCAGGACACCCAGGACCTTCAGGGGAAAGAGGCTTTTCAGGACCTGTGGGGCCGACGGTAAGACCAGAGGGTCTATCATAATGAATATTTAATGTGATTGTCAGTGGTTTGTTTAGTGATTTCTAAAATTGTTCTATTTTAATGTTTCTTTTTCTATTTGTGTTGATGCTTTTGATGTATTTTTTGTGAAATGTGCTGTATAAATTAAACTTTTACTTGACTGAATGTTTCTCATCTCTCATCACAATTTGTTATGTATGGAACACAGTATCCACAGTGAACATGGAAACATAAGAAATCTGAAGGCTATATTTACACACTCTTAGCCACTCTCCGATATGTAGACATTAGTTTGCAATGTTACATTTACGATGAACTCAAACTGAAGATAAAAGATGATGCACAGTCAAATAAGGATAATGATGATTCAGTTCATGTTTCTTTTGCTTCACAGGGTCTATCAGGCAATAAAGGAGAAAGAGGAGAAAAGGTAGGATATATCTTCACAAAATAGTTCTTATTGCAAAACTCATCATTTTTGAAGCCTCCTTTTTATACTATTGTGTGAATAAATTATAAATAAAATAATGCTTTGGCTCTTATTTAAACCTCTGTTGATGTTTGATAGGGGGAGCCTCAGTCTATGGCCATGATCTTCCAACTGGTCACCCAGGCCTGTGAGCAACTAGTGCATAGTGAGTATTCTGATCAGCATGTATAATCTATAATGATATGAATACATTTAACTCTCTTATTTGAACTAAAAGATGGTCAAGGTGCAAACACTTCAACCCAGAGTTGTGTTTGTCTTTCAGGTGAGGTCCTGAAGCTTGATAGTTTCATGAATGAGATGAGTCGAAAGCCCACTCCTATTGAAGAGCCAGTGGGGCCTCCAGGAGAACCTGGTATACCAGGGCCCAGGGGTCAGCCGGGCAGCAGGGGCACCCAGGGAAATGTCGGTACAAGGGGGAGACTGGGCAGGGCTGGATACCCAGGAGAACAGGGTAAAAACTATCATAGGGCTTCTTATAATAAATAATAATGTTTTTTAAAGTTTTTATAATAATAAAAACAATTCCATGTTAGTCAGGTGACTGTAGCCCACACGTGTTAGCATTAATAAATTATGGACCTACTTCTGTGATAACATTTTAAGCTTTTCATTGTACAGATTTGTCTCTTCCTTCTCTACAGGAAGAAGGGGTTCTACAGGGCACAAAGGTGATGCAGGGACAAATGTCCAGGGGCCCACAGGGGTCAAAGGATTTGCAGGTACCTCTTTAAGGGTCAAATATTTGATTTGTCACTGTAATAAAATACATTAACCATCTTAAGATCAGTAAGTCAGCAACCCTTTGCTGATGTCTGGTTATGACCAATATGTGTTGTGTATCATGTCTGCAGGTCCTCCAGGTGAGTCCAAGTTGGGAACTCCGGGCTCTAAAGGAGAAGATGGTAAGCAAGGACCCCCAGGAATCCCCGGACCTCCTGGTCAGCCAGGCGAGATCGGACCACCGGGTGTGTGTGACAGCAGTGGAGGCTGCAGAGGAGTTCCCCAGCAACCAGGTTAGCTATAAACTACTCAAATGCATGAGCTGTGAAAAGCATTTCTGAAGAGGCCTTTTGAAGTATCCCTATCTGGCTCTCTAGCAGCTAAATACTCCACTGTTTACCAGCTAGGGACTTAGTACTTGCTGAAAAAACTAGTAGTAAGTCACTAGCTGCATAGTTACATAAATTAAGTCGGAGCTGGGACTGTGCTGTAAGGTGGGTTTGTTGAAGATGTTAGCTGAAAAGAGCTACCTGCTGCAACCCAAATGCAAACTCTTATGATACATCCCTATTGGAGAACCACTTTTAAATTACTCATAATGAATTTGTAATGTCATAATAATTTGTGCTGCATGGTGGTGTCATGGTTAGCGTTGTCTGTCAGGAGCCTCTCTGTGTGGAGTTTGCATGTTCTCCCTGTGCATGTGTGGGTTCTTTCTGGTTACTCCGGCTTCCTCCCACAGTCCAAAGATTGGTTTTCTGTTTCAATATGTCTTCCCTGTTAATGACCTGCAAACAATCCAGGGTGCAGGGTCCCCTCCTCTCGCCCAATGACAGCAGGGATTGGCTCCAGCCCACCTGCAACCTCAAACGGGAAAAAGCAGTATAGATTATAGATAATAAGTTGTTATTAGTTACTCCAGCCTGTTTGTGGTATTTTCATAGAACACTTTAAAACGTAGTTGTTGGTTTAACCCTCCCTGTGCTCACTGGAAGGCAGGGAAACATTTTGTTCTTCTGAAGTGAAGTAATCCAACTTAGTTGGATGTTTGTATCTTGAATGAATTCTCTCAATAATTTGCAGATACTGACAAGAACAATGTGAATGTGTGTTGACTCTGTTTTATTTGTGCCCTTCTATCTCAGAAGACCCATATTATGGCTACCAACCTTAAGTGGATATTAACAAGAAGGCTGCAACGGTCAGGTATGATGATGGACATCTGTTTTAAATGACTATGGTTCCTTTGGAGCTGAATGACTGGAAACGAAGATTCAAACGCTAAACTTGAGAGGTTTGGTGGGTTGAATTTGCCACTGACTGAAGCTGAAGCTGTCTGGGCTTCTTCATTATGTGTGAGAAAAGGAAACACCAGGGGGAGGATCTCTCTGTCCTCTTGTTTGAGTGTGCTGTAATTTAAAATATGGCTCCAAATGATGCAAGGATAATTAAGAAGCTGTCTTTTGTAGAACTGTTGGAAAGATAGCATTATAAATGAAACTAATTCTCCTTTGGGATCAGTCAAGTGCTGTCTTATACACCGAAATCGCACTGAAACCTTTTATGTTACTTTATGTATTCATGCACTGTATCAATGCTAAGTAGTTTAGCCACCTGTGGTACATTCCTACTTATTTCATTTGCTAACCTTAACTGCCTCAATGATAATGAAAAAGCATACTCCATGGTGTAAAAGTGTCTTTTTTCCATGGTATAAACGATACTGTGAGAATGTGTGTAGTCATTTGTAAGATCACTTTGTATATTGTTTATAGTATTGACTGTACACAGATATTCATGTCTGATATTTTATAATATACCAACTCCTGTTGAAAATTCACGTTTACATTTTCTGATCCCTAGGGTTTGGGTAAAGACAAACACATAACGTGTGTGTGTGTGTGTGTGTGTGTGTGTGTGTGTGTGTGTGTGTGTGTGTGTGTGTGTGTGTGTGTGTGTGTGTGTGTGTGTGTGTGTGTGTGTGTGTGTGTGTGTGTGTGTGTGTGTGTGTATTTTTAAGAGTGTTTTTAGGTAGTTTTACTTTGTTTATATGTCTTTTATATCTTGTTAATAAACTTCCATTCATACATGTTTAATGAAGTATTATTGTTTTGTTTTTTTATCTGACTATTCTTAACTTCAGGATAGCTGGGTGTAGTTGCCTGGTGTTACATCCTCATGCTGATGGCATAGGGACCAATAACTCATATTCTAACAAGGGGTGAAACATATGCTGTGACAGGCTTTTAAGTAAACTAGGGTATGGGTTACACTTTTGTCATGTCATGAATAATTAAAGCAATTTGCCAGAAAAATAGAGGTTTAGTTTACCATTAAAACATGTAATGATAGTTAGGGAAGCCATACAACATGTTTTTAATCTACTACTTAAACAACCTATACTTTGTAAATAATATTACAAAAAAATCTTATTTGTACTGTAAAGACACCTTGCATTAATAATTGATGGCCTTAGTATGTATTTGGTTTTGTGGTTGTGTCTTTTTAGAGCACCATTAATTAACCAACAAGAATATATTAGTAGTAGGCCTATGTCATCATACGCATTTGTCGGAACCGTGGTGAAAATTTGTTTCTAGTGGTGTCTATTTTGAGGAGCACAAATGCGACTTACAAAGTTATCGCAAGTGTTACTCTCAATTTCCGGTTTTGAAGATACGTTTGTTTATGTTTCAAAATAAAGGCTAGCCACATTTTTATTCTGCACCGACTGAGGAGCGACTGTCATAGCCGATACTCTCTGGATAGTGGAAGCATCGGCTTAATGAGTTTCTAGTTTCATAGGAAGGTTGTACAGATTTTCGTAACTTTTCTATCCCACGTGTTTTAAAACGATACAATATCCGGTGTTTTAATGATTGAAAAACAACGGATCCTCAGTCATGTTTTTAACCAAAAGCTGCAGCGCGCTAAGGAAAGAGCGATTGCAAAAATTGCAAGATAATGCAGGAGTTTGCCTGCAAAATTTAGGTATTTAAAAACAACATTGTTGGCACTATGTGAAAAAACATGTAGTGTGGTATTATGATAACAATTTGTTATATTAAAAAAAACGTGTAATGACGTTTTATAGTATTAAGCTGCAATTTCTTTAAATAATCATGGGTTGTGGTCAGTTAGAGCCATAAGGCCAAGGCCAAGGCCCCCCCCCCCCCCCCGGCAGCTAGTCTAATGTTTAAAATGAATGCCATCAATACTTAATTTATTTTGAAAACACTACACCGGATGTTATGCTGTGTGTTTTTTTTGTGGCTTAACCATTTGTAATTAAACCAAGTCGCCATGGCGAGCAGAAAAACTTCGCACCTAAAACGGGACGATTCAGACAAATACTCAGTGCTGTTACCAACCTACAACGAGAGAGAAAACTTACCTCTGATAGTCTGGCTTCTGGTGAAATATTTCGGTGAAAGGTGAGTCCTGGGTAACCGGTGAAGCGTCTCTGCTAAGGTTAGCTTTGAGCTAACGAGACTCACTGATGAGCTGTCACTAAACCAGAGAGAGAAAGTGACAGCTCCACTCTTCACTTTAGAGTTTAATATTTGATGTGCAATCACGATAAACGAGTCATTCCTCTAAAGAAGTAAAAGCTAATACAAGCTAAAACATTTTTTTTTTATAAACTTTATTGATACTATACGAATACAAACACTAACAGACACAGCAACGCAGAGCAACAGATACAGATAGAAAAAGTAATACATAAATGTCAAATTTGAATCATATGTTTTTTTTAAATAGTAAAGTTGTGAGAGTACTGATAGAAGACCTGGTGAGTTATCGAGCAGCACGATAAGAGAGACTAACTTCTGTGAAAAATCATAATGACAGACTGTTTCCAGGTTTAACAATTAAAGAACAATGTACATCAATGTCATAATTTAACTTACTGAGAAAATGTTTGAATTGTTTGTGTTACAGTGGCTATAACTACGAGATCATTGTCATCGACGACGGAAGCCCGGATGGTACACTGGAGGTGGCAGAGCAGCTACAGAAGATTTATGGAGAGGATAAGATAGTAAGCTGATTTTTGGTAGCACTATTAAAATACATATCTCACCATTACGTCTTTAATGACACACCCCCTGCTTGTTTGGGTATGATTCTCAATGCACCCTTAGTTCCAGTAATGAAAGGTGCATGATATGATCTTTCTTTATGCATATGATCTTACTCTCCTTTCTGCACTTTAGCTTCTACGACCAAGAGCGAAAAAATTAGGCCTTGGTAAGTTGGACGTTTTCAAAATAAAAGGGATGTATTCTTTCTTGTTGCAGTGTGCCAGCTTCTAATGACATCTTTTTTTAAAGGCACTGCCTACATCCATGGTATGAAGCATGCTACTGGGAACTTCATCCTCATAATGGATGCAGATCTTTCCCATCATGTGAGTTGAACATGTTTCCCTGTACAGGGTTGATTCAAACATGAAGTTTGTTCTTGTTTATAAACTGACAAGTGTTTCATCAATGATTACTTAGTAAATTCCAGTCTCTGTTAATGAATTAATCATTTGGTCAAAAGGATGTAAGAGGTTTTAAGAGAGATTTTTGTGTGTAGATTTTTCCTAATTTTCTGTAAAATCACAATTTCCCTGTTTTCTGACTCTATCGACTGTCCTGTCTCTGAAGAAATGCACAAAACACCCAAAATAAACTTTATAGAAAAAAAAAAGAGGATAGATCTGATCAAACCATATGAATATAACAGAAGGTTACAGTATATATGTAAATGTGGATATGTCCATTTAAAAATGATCTGATATTTTGTTAACAGCCAATGATTGATCAGCTAATCCATTTCATTCTAACTTCTTTTAAACTCGTTCTAAATTGCATTATGGGTATTAATTGGATATCACATGTATATGTATATCTTTTGAATGCCTTCCTTTCTCCCATGTCTTTAATCAAATTAATCTTTATCTAAATGTAACAAATTATCTGTTTAATATTCCACGTGAAGAGGTATTATCTTTAATTGTTCTTGTTGTTTTTTTTCTATTATTTCAGCCCAAATTTATCCCAGAATTTATTCAGTAAGTGTCTTTACATTTTCATTTCTTATGATTTATTTGTGTTTCCCAAACTGTATCTCAATGGGAACATATTCAGCACATTGAAACAGTTAAATTAATTGACTGTGATATTAATGGCATGTGGAGGAGGGTTTAAGTGAAGACTATTTTGTCTTGATTGTGAGATTGCAGAAGGAAGGTAATTACGACGTGGTGTCTGGTACTCGATACAGTGGGGATGGAGGTGTGTACGGCTGGGACCTCCGCAGGAAACTCATCAGGTAACTGCACCTCAAAAATCAATTTCCGCTGACTCTGATTTCAGAAAGAAAGAGTCTGAAGTTTGATTTTCTTTCCTTTCTTCTGTCTTCTCTTCGCTCTCAGTCGGGGGGCCAACTTCTTGACTCAGGTGTTGTTGAGACCCGGTGCTTCGGACCTCACGGGGAGCTTCAGGTGTGTGCTGCATGTGTAGTGAAATAACTGCGGCTGAAATTAGAATTGTGCTTGCATGTGGGTGTGCTTTCTTAAACTCCTGCTGCTGCTTGTGTTCCCTGATGCCAGGCTTTATAAGAAGGAGGTACTGGAGAGTCTGATGGAGCGCTGTGTGTCCAAAGGGTACGTCTTCCAGATGGAGATGATCGTCCGCGCCCGGCAGCTCAACTACACAATCGGAGAAGTAAGGACCTATGTTGTTGATGCTTTCTTTCATTCATGTGGTTCATTTTTTACGTTTGGAAAGACTAATAAGAAAACATTTCCCAGAGCACTCTATTTTTTTTACCCCTGTAATCTACCGCAGTCTAAGGCTCCACCTAGCGGTTTTTCTGAGCCCCAGCGCCAATTCTACTTTTATGAAGTTTACTATACTGAGGTTGACTTTAAAGTTGGGCCCTTTGCTCCATGTCTACCCTGCTCTCCCGGGTTAGAATCCCAACTATAGCTCCTTTCCTGAATGTCATCTCTCTCTCTCTCTCTCTCTCTCTCTCTCTCTCTCTCTCTCTCTCTCTCTCTCTCTCTCTCTGATTTCTGACTCTATCCACTGTCCTATCTCTGAAATAAAGGCATAAAAAGCCCCAAAATGAATCTTTAAAAAAAGAAAGGTAGATTGCCACTGAGACCGGGTCAGAGAAACCTGGTCCAACATTGTCTGCATGATGAAAAGTGAAATCAGTCCATTTTTCTTTTTTGTGTCATCAGTAGAGCAAATAAAATAAAGTGGTGCAAGAAGAACGATTTACAAAATTGTTTCCATATCTAACAAGGATTCTCTTTTTCGTCCTCTTTCAAACAACAGGTGCCAATTTCCTTTGTGGATCGAGTTTATGGAGAGTCCAAACTTGGAGGGAATGAGATCATTTCTTTTGTGAAGGGACTGCTCACACTCTTTGCCACAACATGATCACTGTTTGGACGTGTGCACAGCAAATCTTAAAGTCACTTTCTTGAATACAATAGTTGTGTCAGAGTTTTCATTAAGGGAAACTTACAGTGACATGATGGTATGTGAAAAGAGGGACTCTGCTAGCACTCATTTTGAAAACTATTCTCTGTCAGTAACAGTCGTGAATACTGGAGGAAAGTGGTGCTTTACATTCCCATCATCTTGTTGAGTTGTTTTAGAACATGGCACATAGTTTTCTTCATTCCCAGTATAGACAGCAGACTGGTCTCTGCATTAACACGGTTGAGTTGAACTACAAGTTTACTTGCTATACCTGTGATTGTATAAAATAAACTGTTTGTATAGTTTACTCAGCTTTTTCTGGTTTTATTCCTTAACAGTTTCAAAGCCTAAATTAGTTAAACAGCTTCACTTATTGGTTATTATTATTATTCAAGGTCAGAACTAACCATCTACAAGGATAACCTCGGGCCCATTCTGGTTAATCATGATAATATCATTTATGTAGCACATGATGAGTTTTCCATCAGAATGAAGATCAGTGTAGAGTTTCACTTTTGACCTTGGAAAAAGTCACATTTAACCTTTTTGGGGTGACACATTATAGGTTTTCCTCCAGAACATGGTGTGGTGGATATTCTGTGATGAGGCAGCAGAGGTAACAATAACGTGTTTGTAGATCTTTCTCACATACACTGATGAAGGGATCCCCGATTAGTGACCTTCACCTTGAGGTACACAAGAGCTTTGCTTAAAGGTTTGACAATCACACAACTGACCTAAATCCTTTTAATTTAAAAAATATATTTTTCTTTTTATACACAAAAGTGATGACATATAGGTACCACAACAATGAAGTAAATCATTCAAATGGAAATGACTAAGAAGTCAGAATACAGTCGACTATAATTTCAGTTATTTATTGGTATTTACAGAGGGGTGTGGTACCCTAGAAATTAGGTGGTAAATTGTGTGGAAAAGTTTGACGTTTAACTGATATATCCAGTGATCACAGCGAGGTAGGTATTGGTAAATCAGGTTTAAAAGTCACAAAATAAAGGCATTTAACATTCAAGTTGTCTCTTTACACAAATGGTAGTGTCATTTGCATGATGAATTATCAAGTAGGGAAATGCAGGGCAATACCAGAGGTCGTTAGAACTCCAGGCTTATTTCATTATAAGGTTTTTCTCTTTATCTTAGCTTTTATAGGAAATTGAACCTTGACAGTTTGATCTGACACCTTTAGCCATCCTCACAGCAAACCTAGAGATAACCATATTTTGAATCAGTGACACAAATTGTACAAAAAGTGTTAGGTAGCCAATGAGGGGATGGGGTTAACCTTTTATTATAAAGAGTGATGATAACAATAATGACGATTGGAGGAGGGGATATGAGGGCAAAGGATTAAACCAAGTTGACTGAGAAATCGAACCATTATTTTGGCAGTTTAAATAAGATAAGATAAGATAATACTTTATTGATCCCCAGAGGGGAAATTCGGGCAGCAGCACAGACAAGAAAGCTCAAAATACACATTAAACAGAATAGATAAGATAAATAAAAATAAAAATAGGGGTATATACAAGTACAAAATGAATGATGAAGTTAAATATGCAGGGAGTTGAGACAGTATTTGCAGAGAATGACAAGATAAAGTGACAAGTGATGATTAAAGTGACTTGGTATGATATATAACAATACCAATGTTCACTGTTGTTAGGGGCATCGTACAGAAAAGTAGTCCCTGTCATAGTGAGAGACACAAGCATCATACAGAACAACCACTCACACAACCACTGTGGGTGAAGACATCCGACCCTTCGCAGGGGAGGCGGGGGACGCCAGCTGTAACTCCACTGCGCATGCGCGTAAATTGAAGGCCCCTACTCAAAGAAGGACGCCCGCTGTCGACTAAACCCGGTAACTGCTGCACCGCGTTGTTTACCCCCTCCAACTCGACACACACAAACCAAAGGGCCTCTGCGGATTTTCAGGGTCGAGTAATGTATTTTTTTGTAAAGATATACACTTAATTGGCCCAGGCTTGATTAAAACACCAATCAAGACTTTAATGAGCCGAGGTCGCGAGGGCTCTCACAATGAGATTATTTATGCTAATCAAGTCGATGTCACTTCCGCCCCTTTTATTTGCGCCATTTTGGATAGGGCAGTTTCTAGCCTGATGTGTATTGTCTGTCAGTGAGGAGAATAGTCAAAGCTTCACCGGCTGCTGGGCAATAATAGAAAGACTTTAGGCTATTTCTTTTGAAAGAGTGGAGTTATCCCCAACAACAGGGCAGGGGTCTGTCCTCTCTACTTCAGGGGAATGTACGTTTTAATTGTCTAATGAGTGGTGAGGGGCTTTCAGTTGCTGTTTGCCGACCGCAGGGACGAAGATAGTCTTTTCCTCTGCGAGGGGGAGTTTTGGTTTGGAGGAGAGAAAGACGGCCGGGTGGCTCGGTCCCAAACGTTACCCGACGACGCTAGCTGTCACCTGCAGAGGATAACACCGAGATATCTGCTACAAGAGAAAGTGTCTACACATCCTGAAGTGACACATTTCACTCAGACGGGAGAGCTGGATGTGAAAGCAGGTAAACTTGTCTGTCATTCAGCCGTGAAAACGAAGATAGTTTGGCTGTTATACCTGCGGGGGATGCGATGGGTGGTGTTGAAGTAAAGCTGAGGTAACTTGGCTGGTATTGTTTCTATATGTTCAGCCATACCTCAAATTCAAATCTCACATATCCGGAAGGCTTTATTGTAACAAACCCCGCGAATATCAAACACATCAAATGAAGGACTAAACGGCAGCACTAGTTTTCGAACAGCCCATGTTGTGGGTGCGAGTTAGCTAGCTTAGCATGCTAACTTAGCGCGCCGTGTCCCCCCATTCTTTGTCAGCGGCGGCAGGAGCTCTCCGTGTCGATACAGCCAGATGTTGGATAAACAGAGACTATAATCAACACACCACACAGACTGCTTGTTCTGCGTTAGAGCTGAAGAATCATCCACCACGGCTTTTTTTTTTTTTTGCGAGTAAACGTATTCAACGCTATGAATATTGAAAGTGCATCTACATTAGTGTTGTCAGAGTGTTTGTTTTGGGGGAGACACACAGACAGGTTGGACCCATGTAATTCTCATAGCCTTATGCTATAGTTTGGTTCATCAAACGTAAGTTAATTTGAATATGATCAGCCAGTTGACATGGGGGTTATGATGAACTTAAACCTCGTTTATTTGAGGGTAGGAGGGCTGTCACCTGGTCTGTACAAGTGTCAGAGTGTAATCAGAATCATTACCATCAACCTTTACACACATTTACTCCTCATGCAGACCTCCACTTACTATACATGAACAGCTTCAGACAGGTAGTGGAAAAAAACTAACCTAAATGGATTTTATGAATCCCAAACTTTTCTTGAATTCTGATGTCGACTGACGCTTTTGGAAAATCCATACAGCGAAGGAAGAGCATTATTAAAACATAACATAGGCTATCATGATGTCCCAGTGGAGTCGTTGTGTGAAGAGAGATATGTGGTTAAAGGCTGGAAGGCCTCTAATATTTTTTCTTTTTCGCAACACAGGCAAAGGGGTAAGCCTGTTTTCTGCCAGCAGCCCTCAGCAGTACAGCCTCCTATTGCCTTTCCTCCCTCTCCTATCCCTTCTCTCCCTTCCTTCTCTCCTACTCTCAGCCTCTCCTTGGCTTTTTTTTTTTTCCTCGCTCTTTTCTTCCACCACCCCCTCCCCTCCCTACCTCTCCATTGCCCCCCTTTCTCTCACCCTCTTCCATTTCCTCTCTCCCCCTCCTTCTTCTCTCTCTCTCCCTCCCTCTCTCCCCTCCTTCCACCCTCTAAGCCTGCCTGTCCAACCTCCCCCCTCCCCTCCCCTCCCCCTCCACTTCCGTCGCTCTCTCCTCCTCTACTCTGTCCTCACTGTTTTCCTATCATCTCTCCCCTCACACTCCCTCCTCTACCCTCGCTCACTTGCTCCCCTTTCCTCTCCCTCTCTCTCTCGCTCCTTCTCTCTTTCTATCTCTCTCTCTGTCTCTCTCTCTCGCACTTCCTCCTCCTCCTCCTCCTCCTCCTCCTCCTTCCAGCTCCCTCACCCACCCACTCCCCCACACTCACCCAACCTCTTCACTGAACTCTCTTGCTCCTTCTGTCCCTCCCCTTTCAACATGCCTCCCTCCCTCACTCCTCACCTCCCTTCCTCTCCCCTCCCCTCCCCTCCTTCTCCACTGCAGACATATTGTGGAGGCTACTGCTGACTCAATAGGAGGCGCCATTCTGTGATGGTATTGCGAGGCAGGGAGAAAAGGGGCAGGCAGAGCATAGGGAGGCTTACATAATGGTGCTGCTCTCTAGCGCCATCCAGGAGTAATGAGAGGAAGCAGGAAGGAAAGACAGAGAGGAAGTGGACAAGGGTGTATGTCCAGCATATTTTTTAATGGTAGGCAGACAGGCAAGACAAAGAGATGAACAGGTGTATGGACACAATCGTCAGCGGTTCTCTCAACTCTTGACCAGGCCAGTAGCCTTTGGAACAGGTCAGATGCACAGTTCCTCTATTCTGTTTTGTGTTTCTCAAAGGGAAATTAACTGTATTGTTCACAGGAATTGTTTGGGACTTAGCTGTTTGTTTTGACTGAGCTGCCATATGTCATCGATCATCAGTGACCTTTGACCTCAGTACAGGAAGCACTGATTTGAATAGAGACATTTGACCTGCCACTTTTGACATGGGCTGTATGATACATTGCATTAGCATTACATTTTGATGTGCACATGTGCAATGATCACAATGTAGGATGCTTGTTGTCATGCCAATCAACTTGAACATGTCATGATTCAACTTTTGCTGCTTGATACTGAAAGAAAGTTCTTAAGGTTCTCTTTGACCATGATTATTCTACAGGAATATTTGTCTGAAAATATTTTGCATGCAGATAATCAGTTTGCAATCTCTGAGAACGGATGCATTTGTAGAGTCTGCATCGCCTGCCTGTTAACAAGCATGTGGACGGATGTGTCATGAATCACTTTAAGCATGACAGCAGCACCTCGTCATGGTGCTGGTCAACCTGCTGGCTTCATATGTGGACTTAAGGAGCAAATGTACAGTGCAATGCATTATTTTAGTGTTGTGTGAATCACAGACAGGACAAGACACAGTGACCTTTCTATTTGAAAAGTTAGGCCCGTAACTCTTAACTTCTCAAATTTGTGCTGAGCACCAATATAACTTGCACGGTCCAGATCTATCCGTACCTATTGTGAGCACAAAGAAAAACCTATTTGTTCAGTTCAAATGTTTTAAGTTAACCATCCTTACCTCTTGAGAGGCTCGTATCAGACTAAACATAAATGTTACATAGTTAGGCCCTGTGTCTACCTAGGTTTTTTTTTTCTAAATGCCAACGTCTTTTCTCAATTGTTTTCAAGCGGTCGCCTGGAGAAAAAGCATAGCGCCCAGTGTCTTTTCTTCTGAGCGTTCCACCTTTTTTTTTCCGGCCGCTCCGAGCGCTCAGGTTGAAACTGTTTCAACTTTTCAGTGGCGCTGCTGACGTCACCGGTGCTCTTTTCCAAATGTATGATATTCCCCGTGTTTTTTCCTCCTACGGATCGTGTCTTATACCCACTTCCTCTTTGCTCTGTGTCTGATCGGGAAAAAACATCTTGAAATGTATAACATTGCATTAAAAAGTAACGGAGCAGTGTTGGTCATTGTCAACAGACTGTTGTCATAGAGACAGGACGGACGTCCAGCGCTTTTCTCCCCGAGGGCACAGCCAGTGCTTTTCCACCTGGAAAAAACACCAGGTGGACACAGGGCCTTAGTTAGAACTGTTTTTTTATTTACCTAGGCTACATGTAAATAACACAACTTTGGCACAGAATTCCATTTAACTTGGTTTTTCCCAAATATCTCTCCACCTGTCTCTCTCAAATCATCAGTGAGGTCACTGATGTCAGCGTTGTTTCAGGCATTTATTCTATTAGACATTTTGCCAAGTAATCTTGTTTATAGTGAAATGTATACATGTTCGACATCATCCTTAATAAGTTGGAAGTCTCAAACTTTCCTCCATTTGCTTGTGCATTGCTTTGTATCTTTGAGCATTACCACCACCTGTTAATCAGTGGAATAGTGTTAGACCTTTCAAAGGCAACACCTCAGTTGTGTGTTTTTGCTTACTCTTGCATGAGGTCAAGTTGAACCAGACTTAGTTTTAGCCATCAAACAACATTTAAATGCATTAAACTATTACTCAGACTGAAGTTCATGAGTTGTTTTTATCGTCTCTAGAGTAACCCCCTCCTGTAGCCCCATGTGCTGAATGCATGGCTGGTTTGCCTGAATCCTCACTATGAGAGTGCTTTGGCTTTGTAATCTATCGGGGAACAACTTCATCCCTTGTAGTTTCATAACACTAGCTAAAGATGTAACAATTCTTAGTTATTAAATCTTTTGTGAAAGCTGAATAAAGCAAAAATGAACTGTCACTAGATATATTTTTCTTAATTTCAAAAAAGCCTTACCTTCAAAAAATAGCTCAAGCCATCAGTGTATCCTCTTTATTATTTGATAGGGGTTGTTGTCCTTTTAGTTATTTCATACTCCATTATACACTAAATTAGACATTTAAAAAAATTCCATAGTTATTATCATTAATGTTCTCTGCTTGCATGCCTTTTTTGCTAGACAAGTCAAGTACAGTGTCAAGTTAGTTCCCCGACTTGTGATACTGAAATCTGTCCAAATATACCCTACTCCTGTTGCTAATATGCTTTATGTGTCTGTCTCTCAATCCAGGTGGGCAGGATGTTCCAGCTCCCTGTCAATAACCTGGGCAGTCTACGGAAAGCAAGGAAAAATGTTAAAAGGGTCCTCGGGGATATTGGTTTGGAGTTCTGCAGAGATCACCTAGAGGTGAGCATGCTCAGACAACTGTGCTGTTGTGTTTATGTGTTTTCTTAATAAGGACTTTATGCACTATCGGTACCTCGCAAAATATTGTTCTGACTGTCATTCAAAAATATCTTATACCCAACATCATATTTAACCCTTGTAAGATTTGAGAATAATTCTTGTTTGGATTCTGTTTAAACCTGGTGTACATACAGGAAATTTGGTTTAATTATAAGAAAATGGGAATTCTTTAATTTAACTTGGCTTGCTATGAGAAGTAATGGTCAAGCAGTAAGGTGACTGGAACCGCTGAATAAATGTGGAGAATATATGATGATAAGTCCATGAACTGGAGTCATAATACAGTGTGAACAGCACGTCACATGTCCTTTTGTAATACTACTTTATGTTCAATAAGGATACTCCCAGTATAGTGTATAGAAACAAACATTTAGAGGGATAAGGTGGGGTTTTGGACTGTCTTGTAGAGGACTATCTTATTTATGTCACGGGTTCTAATATTTGCTAGGCTTTAATAAAGTTTAAGTTGTTATTTGTTTGGGAATTATCAGCCAAAATGGGGTGCTGGTAGTCTAGTGGATAGTGCACGTGCCTCATGTACGGATGCCATTGTCCTCGAAGCTGACAGCCCAGGTTCCTATTCATCCTGTGGATTCTTTCCTACATGTCATCCCCCCCCTTTCTCTCTCTCTCTCTCTCTCTCTCTCTCTCTCTCCCCCCCCCCCGATTTCTGACTCTGTCCACTATCCTATTTCTAAAAGTAAGGAATAAAGAGCACAGCCACAATCAATGTGATTCTTTTTATGCAGATATTCTTTTAAAGAGAGCTTTATATTTCCATGTGTGCAGGTCTTACCTGGCATTGATGATGTTGTGTCTATGAGCCGTAGCATGCTAGTTCATTTAGCAATGTTCGCAAGGTTTTCCTAGCTCATGCAGTGTCTCTTTCTCTGAATTGCAAACAAGAAGCTGGTCTGAGTGGATCCTCCAGAGTTGGAGGGTCCTGTCATGGCATTTAGAGGCACAGTATGGTGTATCAGGGTTCCAGCAACCTGTCATTGCAGATTCTAATCCAAGCCAGAGCAAAAACTAAACAGAGAATACAGCATCTAAGTTTATGGTGCATGAGTGCCCTGCACAAAGGAGCTCAAGCTGCATTTGTTTAGGTATTTTTAACAGGCCAATCTTCTGATGGAGCCTATGTGAAACTGAACAAATGTTGAAATTTTTAAAATAAATCAAATATAATTTAGTAAGTGTAATTGTCAGACTTTTTTTTTTTTAATTTTTAACACTGAACCTTGTCCCCAAAACCAAATTATACCCAAGTGTGAAATTGTATTGTAACACCCTTTTGTTTCATCCTAAGTAATAACCTTCATTTCTTTATTGTTTAGGACTACAAAGATTATACTCCTCCAGAGGTGTATATAAAGCACACGAACTGGGATGATGTATGCATGTGGGAACCTTCACATACCAAAGTCCAGGTGTGTGACACATTCAATTACACACTCACATAAATATTCAGTTTTTTTCAACGTGTATATGTACATTTGAGTCTTGTTCATAAATCAAGTAAAATATGTCTAATGATACAATGTTGTTCTCAATATTCTCAAAGAACTTGTAAAGTCTAATTTTTCTTCCACCCTATGTCTCCAGGACTACAGATCAAAACCTTTCTGCTGCACTGGCTGCCTCTTTTCATCCAAGTACTTCTCTGCATACAAGAGCCACTTCCGCAATGTCCACAGCGAGGACTTTGAGAACAACATCCTGCTCAACTGCCCCTACTGCACTTACAATGGCAACAAAAAGACTCTGGAAACACACATTAAACTATTCCACATGCCCAACAACGCTGTGCGGCAAACCACTGGTGGAATGGTGGCTGGAGCTGGAGGGGTGATGATGAAGGATGGTGTCCTAAAGAGGACTGGGGACAGTGTGGAACAGGCTGTGTACTACTGCAAGAAGTGCACCTACAGGGACCCTTTGTACAATGTGGTGCGAAAGCATATCTACCGGGAACACTTCCAGCAAGTGGCCCAGCCCTACATTGTGAAACCAGGAGAGAAGACAAACGCTCAGAACGGTGGCACAGCAGGAGCTACAGGCAATACAGAGAGTAATAAAACAAACATTGTCAACAGTAACCAGATTCATTGCAAGAAGTGTCTGTTTGTTCCCAGGACCTACGAGGCACTTGTTCAACATGTCATTGAGGATCACGAGAGGATAGGCTACCAGGTAACTGCCATGATTGGACACACCAGTGTGATATTCCCTCGTCCCAAACCAACCCTCATTATCCCCCCAAAAACCCTAGGTGACAAAACCATCATAGGGATGGGCCCTAAAGGTGCAGTAATGGCCACTACCAGGACTCCTGGCTCACAGCAGCTGGGTCGTGTTGTCATCCCATCAAAGACAGGTTTCAACTCCAGTCTTTTATCTGGGTTGAAACATGATGCAGTAAGATTAAAAGCTGGGACCACCCAGCCATTTTCTGTTGGCAGTCAGCAAGTGAGGGTTACTTTACCAGGCAATGCCCAAGTTTCCGTGCCGCAGCAGTCACATGCTGCAAAGCAGCTTATTTCTGGAGGCAACCTGCGGGGTCAAGTTGTTGTCAGCGCCTCTTCCTCACTCAAATCCAACTCCCTGGGTTCACGTGTCCAGGCGGCAGCTACCACTGTAGCTTCTGTCACTTCTAAGAAAGGTGGTTCCTCAGTCCTTGGCACATCTTATACACAGAAGTGGAAAATCTGCACCATCTGCAATGAGCTCTTTCCAGAGAATGTCTATAGTGCTCATTTTGAGAAAGAACACAAAGCTGAGAAGGTCCCTGCTGTAGCAAACTACATCATGAAGATCCACAACTTCACCAGCAAGTGTCTCTACTGCAACCGCTATCTCCCAAGTGACACTTTGTTAAACCACATGTTGATTCATGGTCTGTCTTGCCCACACTGCCGTGCAACCTTTAATGACGTTGAGAAGATGGTGGCTCACATGCGCCTGTCCCACCCAGATGAGAGCGTTGGCCCACGCACAGATTCTCCCTTGACCTTTGACCTCACGCTGCAGCAGGGTAGTCCCAAAAATGTTCAGTTGATTGTTACTACCTACAATATGAAAGATGCCCCAGAGGAATCTGTGGCATTTCATGCTCAAAACAACAACACCGCCTCTGTCCCATCAGCCTTGTCTGCCTCCCTTATATCAGGCAAGAGGTTAATGCCTCAACATCCGCCCAAAACGCCTTTAGCAACTGCTGACAGTGCACCAACAAAGAGTATCCCTCAGGCTTCTGTGCCCTACAAGAGGGATGTGGGCAAGACACTTTGTCCCCTTTGTTTTTCAATCCTCAAGGGCCCAATCTCAGACTCACTGGCACACCACCTGAGAGACAGGCACCAGGTGATTCAGACAGTCCACCCTGTGGAGAAGAAGTTGACCTACAAGTGTATTCACTGCTTGGGGGTTTATACTAGCAACATGACTGCCTCCACCATCACACTACATTTGGTGCACTGTCGAGGTGTAGGGAAATCACAGAATGGACAGGATAGCCGGCCAGCACATTCTCCTCGTGCTGGCCAGAACCAGAGCAGCTCTCTCAAACGGGCCAGCTTTGATAGTTCTGACTCTGGTGCACCAAAAAGGAGGAGGCCCGGACCCCCTGGAGAAAGGGCCCACCCACGGGATTACAATGGTCCATGTGCATTTGTAGAGAATTCTGATGAGCCTGTAACTCTGGCTCTTGACCCCAAAGGACAGGAAAATGAGTCTTACGAATCCAGAAAGGCATTCCTCACACAATATTTCAATCAAGCACCATATCCTACACGACGGGAGGTAGAGAAGCTAGCAGCCAGTCTTTGGCTATGGAAGTCTGACATCTCCAGCCACTTTGTGAACAAAAGGAGGAAATGTGTACAGGAATGTGAAACCCAAAATGCGAATGTGTTGCTTGGGTTCAGTATGCACGAGCTTAGTAAAGTAAGACATGAGCTAGCATTTGTTCTGGACGATGTGTTTGAGGGCGGACAAAGCAAGAGGCGGACGTCTAGTACACATATGGGGTTGTCAGAGCAGGCTCTACAGAGACATAAGGAGCTTGTTGCTGCTAATGGTGGTGTGGCCCCGCCAAGAAAGGGACAGCCCATTGAAGAAGATACTACAGTAACCCCATCTGCCCTAAAACCTGTCAGTGCCAGCAGAAACCAACCCAAGACAATCAACAGCACCATACCACAGAAAATGCCTCTAGACCTTTCTGAGCCCATTGCCATCGACTCTGACAGTGATGAGGAAGAGCAGCATAACAGGGAACAAGAGGGAGAGGTACATCTCCATGGTAACAAACAGCTTACTGGAGCTAAAGAAAGAACTGAGCCAAGGACAGGGGCCAAGATTGTTTCAGATCTTGATGATTTGTCGGATGACGATGAGGACGATGATGATGAAGATGATGATGATGAGGACGAAGGCGCACATGTAGAGAATGGTTTTGGGCCCTCAGTGGTCTCAGGAAGACTGGATGCTAAAGGAAGAGACACTCTGCCCATCATAATTCCCAAGTTTGTTCCTTCATCTGCAAGAAGTGGGAGGGACAGGGCCCAGCTGGGCAAACAGCAGGTCTGACTGTTAAAATCAACAAGACTCACACAGTCAGAGAGACACTTAAGTTTTGATCCATGCCAACAAATCTGCCTCGCTTGAACCGAAGGACAATGCCTGGTGAAGGTGGGAGTAAAAAAAAGATGGAACAACTTGAGTCAACTCAAAACAAGCCATCCAGTGACATTTATGGACAGGACTCAACAAGCAGCTAAGATTGATGTAAAGATTTGTAAACAGTTTTAATCTGTTTCCTCCAGTGTGAGGGCTGGTGCAAAGAAAAAGGTTACACCAAACAAATAGAAAGTTTTTTGCCTTCTATATTCTTTATTACATTGAGATAAGGAGTAATTAAAGTTGATTTAGCCACTGAACTTGTTAAAGTGGCTCAAAATAATGAGTTATTGTTCGGTTAAGCTTTTGAGCTGACCAGATAATCCATCATTTTTCCTTCTACTGAGATGGGTAATGTAAATTTGTACAGTCTTTTAGACGTGTTTGGACACATGTTGCCGTACATGTACCCTTAAATATTTGCTATTACCTGTATGTAAGGTAGCCTCATAAGTTCTACATTGGTATGCTTAACGCTAGATGTTGCTTTGGTGGCTGGTATTTTCTTCTGTGTTAAGATTATTTTTTAACAAACCTAGGTTTCTTTTTTTTTGCAAAATAATATATCTATATATAAATGAAATAATAGAATGATTTGTTTTTGCTTTTAACTTGATTAGATTTTATTTTTTTAAGTTTTGTTTTCCCAAGTTTTTGGTTCTGACAAAATACTGGCGCTGAGTTTTTCACGTTCTCTTACAGTATCAAGGATCATTTCATCATCTTTTGCAGCCTTATGCTCACTAGCCTTGACTCGACTCTTCTTGCTCTCTATTTTCAGTTCAAATAGTTTCTTTGCTCCACAAGGCTGGGCTGTCACAATCCTGACACTCACAGAAGTTGAAGCCTTTTTTTTCCCAAAAATATAGTCGTGTTCAATATGTGTTCTTTGAATTGTGCGTATTTTGTTTTGTTTCCATTTTTCACTTAAGCATTTATGAACAATAAAGTGCTGTAATTGTGCTTCTCACTTAACTTAAGTTGAAGTTTCTTTAACAGTAGGTTACACAAGATTCTGACAGAAATTATTGATACGATCGAAAAACTGAAATTGGAAATGGAGGCTGAAATTGTACCAAACTTGTCAACTGTTTCAAAAAGTAAAGGAGACTATAGCAAAACTTTTTCAAGTGGTTAGCAGCCTGTAAGGAAATCTTGTTGCTGGTTTATTGGTACAGCAGTCAATTAAGTTCCCCTTTGTGGAAGAAAAGAAGCAACAGAGTACCTCACAGTGGGGGGTAAAGCTACGTCTGATGTAGGATATTGCCGACTACGGTGGGTTGTTGTGGGGGTATTAAATGCTGTAGGTAATGGTTTTCATCCTCAATATTTTCCTGATATAGTATGGTGGGGTTTTTTTAATGTTGAAAGGGGAGTAGTGTATGGAGGAACATGATTTTTGCACTAAAACAAAAGATATTGCATTTAATTATAGACACAGTAATGTATATAGTGAAATTGGACTTGATTTTTGCAAATGATTTCCAAAATAACTCTTATCTATTAAACTCAATTTAATGCAAAATTCAGGCAACCAGTCATAATAATGTATGGCTATTTACGTTGGCCACAAACAATATGTTCCTGTTTATGTCTTTTTAAATTCTCTGTAGGATACTGCCATTTCTATCTCATTCTGAAAGTTACTTTGATGGAAGACGTATTCTCATTATTGTGTAAGAAGTAAAGCATGCACTCTCCAGGTGAGAAAATGATCAGTTCCTCCAAGTTAATTGAATCTTATTTTAGGAACTGTTAAAATTAGCCAATTGAATATTTCATTTACCATGCAGGTGTGAAGTATCCTGACATATTCGTATCCATCAGCACATTTTAATGAGTTTTTTAACATTGCTTTGTAATTTGAGATTATAGCGGAAAATCTTTTTGGTATGAGGCATAATTCCCAAAAAATACAATTTAATCCTCCATCCCAACTTAAAGTGTGCAATTTAATTTCGTGCCTTATCACCCAAGAGTTTTCTTTGTGTACGCCTCAAAAATCCAGTTTGCATAATAGTGATATCACTGCTTGATAAAGCTGTGTATTATAATTGGTATATATTTAATTTAAGAAATCACTTGAAGGAGTCAATGACAAATCAAGTTTCTATTTGTGAAATAACTGGGAAAGTTTCTACTCTTATCCCAAACACAACACGTGTGGGGCTCAGATGGGATACCTTACTGGTATTCAGCCAATATTCTCTCTCAAGGCCCCGCATTGGTAAGCCCTAATGGGTTGATGAAGGGCCCTTGATGGACTTCAAACCAGGCCCATATGGGTAGACTTGGACCCATAGGGATCTATCCAGTGTCTATGGCTACATGGAGTGCCAAATTTAAGCCCATGCATATTTGCCATTGTGACCCAATTGAAACCCACCCAACCCTGGTAACACCCATGTAGACCCTGCATGGTAAAAGGATGTGGGTGTTTTGGATTCCAATGTAGGGGTAATGTAGGGGTTCTGTAAAAGCTACAGTGCCCATGTAAAACCTTATCCAAAACCTCTGCCTTCTAGCTACCATGCATAGTTTCCATAACTAGCTGGTTACCTGATGATTGTAACAAGTTACACATTGAAGAGACTCATCCCATTTTCACAATGAGAGAAAAGATAACATGAAACAGAATATGTGATGCGTTTGTCAGAAACCAAGCAACATGTTCTCCAGTGTTCCAGAATACAGATGTACTGAATGGAGCCTGTCTCCATGTTACCAATGATAAGATGTAGAAATGCCTTGGTTGGAAATAGAACACTAGATTATTAACCCTTTGCCAAGGTGCACCATTTGATGAAAGGTACACTCTGACAGTAGAGGTAAATCAGGTCTGGCTGAGTTGCATTTAGTGAGTCACACTGTTCTACCATCCCAGGTAAATTAAGTGGGATGAGATGTGTACATTGACTATATATTTTTTCACCTCCAAATATTTAATTAAAATGCCATCCTGGGCCGCCCTGGGATAAGGAATCTAAAATGGAGGGAAATTACCCCAGCGCAAGAGGGGAGGGTGAGTGAGAGAGAGAGAGAGGCAAGACTCTTCTTGGCTGGCTATTCAGTGTTGCTATGCTGCTGTAAGGAGCGAGAGAGAGGGAGGAATGGAGGGAGGGAGGGAGGGAGGGAGAGAAGGAATGGTGGGGGAGGCTGGAGGAGAGAGGCCTGGCAGACTGTGGAGGAGGCGGAGGCCTCATCTGCAGTGCTGTGTGCAGAAGGAGTGTTTAGCAGCCTTTCCAAGGGGGGAGGGATGGGTAAGGGAGCTCGGGGGAGGGGAGGAAAGGGGGAGACAGAGAGGGACAGGGAGGAGAAGCAAAGATGAGATGAGTAGAGGGGTGAGGTAGAAAGAGGGGAGGAAGTGGTGGGGGCAGGCAGGAGGTGTTAGGGGGGAGGGAGAGGAAGAAGAAGGAAGAGCAGGAGTAGGGGGAGGGGAGGTGATGGTGTAGAGACTGGCGCCCCCTGTAGCTGAAAGAGGGAGACGGGGAGGCCCTGGTGAGCTTGTGCTGTCAGACACAAAGAGGTGCACGAAACATCCCTTACACTTAAGACAAAAGAGGCTAATTGGTTGAGCTGTCAACACTTCAATTTAGCATGCCCCCTCACCTGCAGTCCACCTGAGCAGCTTCATCATCAGGGTAGGAGTATGAAGAGAAAGAGGGGACACATACACATTAGGATTGAGTTGAGAAACATGGGATAGGGGACATGTGAAAGTGATCCTGGACAGGTTATAATCTAATATCAGCGGAGGAGGAGTCGCCGATGGCGCCCCCTGTAGGAAACGAGCAGGAGTTACTGTGAGATCCTTCTTTTTTTAGGGGTTAATGGAACAAATTTGATGTTGTGGATACAAAACGCTACCATGCACTTTGCATCCCCTGAATATTGCATGTCGCCAGAAGTCATCTAGATCAGAGCGTCATACAAACCAGGACAATAACAGCACAGATGGAGAGGAGAGAGATGGAGGTGGAGAGGAAATGGAGGAGACTAAAGAAAAGCCTCGCAGACTGCGGGGGAGACATGAGTCCTCTTCTGCATTGATGGGGGGCAGGAAGAAGAGCGATGGTTGGTATTATTCCACTACAAGCGCCTCCTGCTTTTTGTAGGCCTTGTTACGGTGAATATTATGCATGGGAAGAATATGGTGAGACTGAATCATTCAGCAGGCACAGAAAAGCAAGATTATTGGGGAAATGGGAAAAAAAAAAGAATGAAAGCACGTCTTCTGGCTAGAGACAAAAGTAATGTGTGTGATTAAAGAAGAAACAAGATGGTAAATGAATAATTATGAGACACAAAGGGATTGAAGAAGTTGCAAAAAGGAGGAAGCGACAAGGAAATACTTTTTCCATGTCCATGACCAATTGCAAGCCAGCATTTTAGAGTACATGAGTGCATTGAAGCATGTTGTCCTGGACCCGGACAGGGTGAGGGATCCTTTGAATCCTTTCAGCTGCTTATCTGAGGGGTTTATGCTGGAAACATCTCAACATTCATAGTGCCTCATGAAGGTTACAACAGTTACTGTATGCACATAACCTGTTAGAGATAACTCTCAACAGTGTATGTAATTGAGAGTGATTAGATATGGAAATATAACCATGTATCCTTCCATTCATGTGCTGAGACCATGTTACAGAAGGCTATGTGAGGTAGTTTCCACCTGGGAAACTCCAAAGCATTACTGACCTTAATTAAAAGTTAAATCCCTCCCAGCATGTTCTGGGCTTACCCTGGGGTCTCCCACCAGTTGGCATCTGGAAAACCTCCAAGGAAAGCACCCTGGCGGAATCCTGGGAAGCTGCCCAAACCACCCCAACTGGCTCTTTTTGACACGAAGGATCAGCAGCTTTACTCAGAGAGCTTTACGGACATCTCAGGTCTGTACCCTGTTTCTCTGGGTAATTCCAGCCATCCTACAAGCTCAGGTATAGACTAATTTACTCGTCTGTATCCCAGATGTCAATCTGGTCTTCACTAACAAAGACCATAGAAGTTGTTGGTAGCCAAAGCTTTGCCTTCCTGCTCAGCTTCTAGCAGAACAATTAGACTGGAGATCAATGGCTACAATACTTTGGCTCATCCGTCTGTCGATCTCTAGGCTCAGAGATATTTGATCAGCTTCACTTGGGGAGCAACTAAATCCCAGACTTTAGGAAGAATTACTCTTTATTTCCTTTGGAGAACCATACATTAAAGGTGCAGACTCTCATCCTTACCCCTTCAAACTGCAAGCTGACTTTTTGAGGTCTGTCTCTGATGAAGCCTGGAAATATATCAAGGAGGAAGGCTCTACTTTTATTGTGAGAGTTCTTTGGTTAATATCTCTACAACATCAGGACGTGACACAATTCAAACACAAAAGCAGAAATCATTATACAGACAATAGAGAGTAGCACATTATCATCATGCACACTTGTTTCTAACAAACGTTTCAAAGCTTTTACCGGCTGTGCTCACACATTACCTCATTGGAATTCATGCAGATTTCGACCTAGAGGAATGGCAGGAAAAGGTGTGATTAAAGTAGAGGTGGACAAATACTGCCATTTGCTACCACACATTCAACCCAACCGACCAATGTTTTTACATTTTAAGGAGTGCAGTTCATGTGTGACAGGGGCTCAAAATCAAAAGCCAACACATGCTGCATGAATATTGCTGCAGTAATAGCTGATGACGCCATCACCTCAGTGCAGACAGGTAACCTGCAGATAAGATGCCAAAAGACGAGAAGCACAGAGACACTTGACATTGTGGCAGTGGCTAGATAGTTAGATAGATAGTGGCAAGATAGCAAAAGGCTGCCTGCTGCACCACACGCTTGCAGTGCATCAGAACCTGTTCTCTCCTGCTCCAGCTGGGCCATAAAGTTTAATACATTCAAAAATAAAAATTGAAGATGAACTCATGAGAAAGTCCCAGATGTTTGCTTTATTTGAACTTTTAGCAATTTATTGAACTGGTTGACGGAGGAGTAGTAAAAGTAGCAATACACTGTACATGCAGTGTAACAGTTAAAGATGCTTCTGCAGCAGATCTTAAAACTGGTAAGGCAGCAGTGTTTGACAGTATTTGTGTTAACTGTTCAAAAGTGAAGGAGGGTAAAGGGATGATATTGAACATATGAGTAGCCCTTGCCCCTTTTTCAGAAAGTATTCAACATGTTATTTGTTTGTATTTATGTTATTATTAATAATAATAATAATAATGATAATAATATTAAATTCGACCTTCAAAAGTGAACAGAGATGAGATTGATCCTATTGACTGGACGACTCCTCAAATGTGATGCAGCATCTTAAACTAGAGACAGTGAGATTAACGACACATTGTTCCGCTGAGATTGTCAGTTTTGAAATCACATATTGACTTAACTGGAGTTAAATGTTATTCCATCAAGCTGAGTATAACTCTAAAGGAATTAGGTCACTTATTATAATTTGTATGAATCTACCTCAGTCTTTTAAAAATAAGTCATTAGATCTAATTAGGCACATAAAAAAAATACCTGTGTGGATGAATTTTCACTGCCCATATAGTTGCAAACGACATCCATCTTTATCCATCTATTTATTACCATAATTTTATATTGCTAGAAGGAATTTGTATTCATTGGATGGTATCAGATAAAATATATATTTTTTTTAAATATTGGAGCTTTATGATGACCACTATCAGTTGTGCAGAAGTTAAAAATCGTTAATGTATACCTTTTATACTCCTCAAATGATGGAATACTTATCAGTGTGTGCATAAACTGGACCAGTGGCCAGCGGAAGTAGGCCTATATGACTTTTGACCAGAAGAGGTCACTAAAATGTAAGAAACAAAGTAACCTGCAACATTTATACCTTCATAAATGTTACATTTAACATTTAACATCTAATACAAAATAGTCCATCAATGCAAGCATATACTATACACTCTATGCAAGTAAAATGAAAAAAAAACAAAAAAACACACACATTGTTTGAGGTTTAAAATGTTTGCTCACTACGATATAATGCAGAGTAATGCAAAAATAGAGCAGCCAGCCCATAGACTGTAAATAATAGGAAGCACTCCTAATGTCTCATTTAAAGCCTATTCTTAAAAAAATAAAATAAAAAATAAAAACTCTTGAAACTGACCGTTTAATGATGGAAGGACACTTAAATATTAATTTAACAGCTGTAGGGACTTGGCTTGGGAACCGGAGGGTGGCCGGTTCAAGTCCCGGTGTGGACCAAATACGGAAGTTGGTCTGGTAGCTGGAGAGGTGCCAGATCACCTCCTGAGCACTGCCGAGGTGCCCCTGAGCAAGGCACCGAACCCCCTCCCCACCACCAGCTCAGGAGCGCCCACCGTGGGCTGCTCCGTCACTCTGACATCTCTCCATTAGTGCATGTCCATAGGATCCTGTTTCTGCATGTGTGTATATACTTCAGCCTATGTGTGTGTTCATGACTTACAAGAGTGTAAAAACTGAAATTTCAATAAAAGTACATCTTAATCTTAAATCTTATTTTGAAGGCAAGGGGGCGACAGAAAGACAGAGGTTGAATCTTATTTTGAAGGGTCGTGTCGCCTCTCTCTCCAGGCAGACACGCACGCACGCACGCACGCGCACACGCACACACACACACGCACGCACGCACACACACACACACACACACACACACACACACACACACACACACACACACACAGGGAGTCATGGGAAGAGGTAGACCGACAGTCACAGTACTCTGTAGTGGTGTAGAGAGAGACGCAGGCAGCGGTCAGTATGAGAGGAGATAAGTTTACAGGGTGAGCTCGGCTGGTTGGCAGCCGTTGTCGTATTCTTGGAGAGACAACCGTAAACCCGGTGGACGTCGAGGAGTCGTGGGACAGTCTGTGTTTAACGGGACGGAGGAAACAAATAGAGAATACGGACACCGAGCGGCGGCGGCGGCGGCAGGAGCAGGGCGAGTGTGAGGGCTTTGGCGGCGGTCCCGCTGCTAGCGAAACATGAACAAAAACCACCGAGTGCCGAGCAACCGATCTCTGAGTGCCGTGGAGGTGAAGAGCAAGGTACTTATTGAGACTTCTTTATGTTTGTAAGCCTTTACTCTCTACAAGACGACTACTCAGGCTAATTTAAGTTAGCCTGCTAAGTGGCTCGATAGCAACTTATGATGTCGCACAAATTACACAACTAACGTAAAAAAACAACACAGGTTATGTTTCACTGACTAACATCGCTGATGGCTTAACATATTTAAAACATTTATTCAAATTGAGGTGTAGTTAGATTGTAACTTGATATAATAGTAAGTTTGAAGGTAGTTATTATTGTCAGCTGACGCCGCAGTGAGGCAGTGTCACCTGTCACAGCCTCATCCGCCGCTCCCTCTGCTCATTTCACCAAACATGACGAAAAAGTTCAAGTCAAGTGTTTCTTACAGCTCAACCACATGTGAAGTGGACAACATGTTCAAGATATTGGCTTGAGATTTGGCCCGTTATGTCGTGTTGTTGTGATCTGCCTTTTGTGAGGGCGTACTCCTGTGCTTACAGGTGTCATACGGTTCATGGCTCCTTCCGCCACATGCTGCCCGCCTCCTGTCTGTGACACTGTGACACACACACACACACACACACACACACACACACACACACACACACACACACACACACACACACACACTTTACCTAACTACATATGTTTACACAAACTGTGACCTTTCTGTTAGTGACACTAGCTCCTGAGTGAATAGTAACAATACAAGTTTTGCAGAAAGTTATAATATGCTCTTAAGACTGAGCAGTCCAGGGTCCTTTAGGATGTATTGTATTTTTGTATCCTTGTGAAATGTACCTATTTGAGACTATCCCTGGACCTAAACCTGTTATTGCTATAATTCTGCTCTTCACTAATGGACAAAGCTGATGAGAGTCCAGGCTGGCAGTGAATTGCAGATCATCTTTTGTCAGCACTGGGCAACAGTAACCACAACACTTGGTACTTTTAATCAACACCACCAATGGGACATAATGCTCTGTCTCAGCTAAACAGTTGTCTGAGGACTAGGCATGTGCAGCCATTCATCCAGACACACCACACTTTGTTACTCGAATGCCAGCAAAATGTTTGGTGGCAGTGCATGTGTGCTGAAATTGAGCCTTTATTAACAACAGAAATAACTCTCTGTATGGTATCTCCAGGCACATGTAAAATGTATTCATGACGGCCGGATTTTGTGCTTATAAGGCAGAGATTATTTCCCAAAAGGGGAACTCGCTCGACTAGAAGTGTTTCCGTTTGGCAGTAACTGACGTGAAGCAAACTAGTGTCTGCTGAAAAACCTGTCTAAAGTCTGTACTTTGAGCAGCACTACGACTTAATTATACCAACATCTCAAAAAGAGGCACACAGCCAACACAGAAATGTGTGTGACACTGCAGGTTTTACTAGACAGCGAGCTGTAAACATCTGTTAAAATCAGCCAATGACAGCTTAATATCAGATTGTTAAGCAATTATTTTTGGTCATATTGCCCAGCACTAATGCCAATTTTGAAGTTTATGTGACAGTCTAAAATGTATCCTTGATCTACTGATCAATCAGTCAACAGGTAGAGCAATTTTTTTTCAGAATTTCTCAATTTCTTCTTGGCTGATGTGTGTCTCGAGAAAGTTAGGGAGCCTGTTCTTGGAAAAAATTATACATTTGTAACATTATTCAGTACCCGTCCGGGCATATCAAGGGTCAGTTACTGAGTCACTTTCATGCCAACTTAAACGTGTCTTTTTCTGTTCCAAACAGTTTGGTTTTATGTAAATTATTCTTATTCATTCACTTTTTTCTGCTTCACATTTCAATGCCATACTTTCTATCCTAAATTCCAACAAAAGGGACTTCTTTGAAATTTCATTTATTTATCTGCTTGTTATTCATTTATTTAGTTCTATTATTTATGTTATCAATTATTCTGTTATTTTACAGGTTTTGGGAGGGGTTTAGCTGGACTGTTGTTGTTATAACCCTGGAAACACTTAAAATTAAAAAAATAAATATTGTTTTTTTTTTTTTTTAAGAAAAGAGTGTATAAACATCACAAAGTCCTCATTAATACTTCATCACATACAGTGTGTTAGCTGTTTTGAAACTTGATAAACTACTGGGACACTGCGTGCTTGTCTGCTACATCCCCAAATCTTCTTAATATTTCATACATATCTAATACATCTAAGCTCTCTCATGGTTTGTTTGGCTCTGAAATAAGTCGTTTCTGAGATCCCCACATAAGCATATTTGTTTTCACCATTATTCTCTCATGAGTAATGTTTGCATATCTACTCCTCTTCAGTTTGGTGCAGAGTTTCGTCGATTCTCTCTGGATCGATCGAAGCCAGGCCGCTTTGACGAGTTCTATGGCCTCCTGCAGCACGTACATCGCATCCCCAATGTGGAGTTGTTGGTCGGCTACGCCGACGTGCATGGCGACCTGCTGCCCATCAATAATGACGACAACTACCACAAAGCCATCTCCACAGCTAGCCCTCTACTCAGGCTGTTTCTGCAGAGGAAAGGTAAGCACAGAGGAAGTGTTTGAACTAAGAGTTCTGGTTTGTCCACCTGGTTGTTAGGTCGGATCCGCTTTCCACTGGAAATATAAACAAAGCATTAGCATTAGCTTTAAAGTGTACAGCATTGACAAATTGGATAGGCTGTTGTACAGTAGAGTGTGCTATTAAGCTTTGTTTATTCTGTCTTAATTAAAAAAGAAAAACAAGGTATCACCTCACCTTTTTAGTTTAGAAGGTTGTATATTGCCTAACTCCTTATTGAGTTGTCATTGCAAACAAGCTACTCAACAGCTGTGTCCTCTAGCTATATCCTTTGGTGTCCCTCTATAACCACACAGCTAAAGGTCAGGGACCTTGCTCTGACACAGTTTTGTGTTTGGACAAAACTGATGAGGTCAAGATAAAAGGCTGCAAAAGACACGATAGGTGAGCATTTGCAGTTTTATGTTTAATAGTTCACATGCAGAGTTTTTTTTTTTCCCTGATGTAGGACAGTGTAAGTTCAGACAGCACAAAAAGCTGTTGTTGTTGGAGGTTGCAGGGACTCGTATAGTTAGATGTGCACGTCCCATTTTTGTGATTGTGCTAAAAAGATGTGACTTTTCTTTACTCCTGGTCTTCACATGTTGGTGTTCATAAAACTGAGACACTTTTCCTGAAATCAGATATTTATTTTCTTTCTGTATTGGAATATATCGTAACATATCCTATGATATTTAGTTTCCTTATTTTTCAACCCATGTCCAGATTCACACTCATACACAGCATATTATTGTTCTGCTGATACAGAATTTGGTATCACTGAGGATCTGTTCATCTCTTCATTGGCTGAGGGAGGTAGTTAGTTTTACAACCTGGAACTGTTGGCTTAATTACCGTAATGTTTTGATTAACATGTTTTCTCATGAGTCAGGATTACTGTAAACTTATTGTCAGCTGACTTGTATAAAATTCTGATTTTTTTAAGTGCGTCCTTCACTAATGATTTGCAGAGTATGACCTGTTGCATTAGGGGGTCCAGAGGGTCTGCTGGTCAGGACAGGCCGGACAGCGGGGTCTGTTGTGTTTAAGCTGTCTCGCCGTGCCATATGACCCTATAGAAGCTAAGCCACTTTGTCAGGGGGAGATTAGTGGGGGTCACTGTGTAGCGCTGCATGGGACCATGTTTCAATTACACACTCCAGACACCAGCCCCTCACTGGGCTCACTGATGGTCACACACACACACACACACACACACACACACAGGAAAACATCCAGGCAAGCAGGCATCACACATCAGTCACGCACAGCCTTTAGAAAAGATAGAACAAAGACAGGAGACACACACACAAGCTACAACCCCCTGCAGACCACGCCGCCCGCACCCCCCCTCCCATTCACCTTACTGCTTAGCACCAGTTGATCCCCGCTAAAAAAGCTTTGCAGTGTGCAGATGCAGCAAATTAGCAGCTTTTAGAGAAATTATTATGTATTCTCAGGCACTTGTAAATATTTCTACTGATTGCTATACATTGAGTTGTTCGCTGCTGGGAATGAAGTGAACTTCAGACATATATATATATATATATATACACGCCAAAGTCACTGGTATGACATTGTAGTATTAGAGTTTCTTACTCTACTGAATAAGATGTATATCGTGGTTGATGTGAATATGAAAGGTTAGTTAGAGGGCTGCCGCCTTATCAGTAACATAATTGAATTATATTCAGTGTTATTATACATTGTCAACCAATCAAAGCAAATATGCAGGTACCACATTTTGGGCTACTACAAGCCCAAATTGAAAGATAACATGGGCCATCTCATATATCGGACGGAATAATTGATACAATATGAAATGATTTTTAATAGAATTTGTTTTTATTATTATAAGACCTTTTTTGCCTCATTTATCATGTTGTTTGTATCCCCACAAACGGCCCTACACTAAAAGAAGATGGTCCATTAAGAAAAGCCTATTTTAAAGAAAAGATAAGATATACTTTATTCATCCCAGCAGGGAAATTTAGGTGTTCCAGCAGCCAGCATACATACAAACACACAACACAACACATATATACATACATATCCCACCCATACAAAAAACATGAGCCCACAAAACATAGCCAGGATAAAAAAAAAGTGGTATGGATGGTCCATGTGTATAAGTAGCTGATACTCATAGATAACAGTACAAAACACTAGCTCTGCCAGTGTATAGTATGACAGATAAATAAAGAATTGTTATAAAAAAGCAGTCAAGTGTGCAAATATACAGGTGCAAAATACAGTTTGATATATGCAGCTCAGGTTAAAGTTTAAAAGTTTAAATGTCTTCTGTCCTTACTTAAAGGGGAGTCGTTATAAAGTGCAATTGCAGTAGGTAAAAAAGTATTTTTAAATCTGTCCTTTTTGCAGCTTAGTTGCTGTAGCCTCCCACTAAAAACACTCTTGTTCACACACGAGATTGTGTAAGGGATGCATGTTATTACGCTGTTATGTTATCCTGTTATCCATGTTGTCATGTTACGCTACATTTTTGTTATCAGCAATGAAGAATGAAGGTCATAGTAGGAGTGTCATATTTTGTCATACCTGAACAACCCTACCATCGCCATCAGCCCCTCACAGCTGAGTAATTGCACAATCTCTGCTTATTTTTTAGAGCACCATGTTGTTTCATTCCAGTATTTATAAGCTACAATTAAAAGCTGCCTTTTAATTTTTTAGACCAATACTTCTGAATGTCCTTTAAAACTGTAACTCTGTAAGGTCAGCTATGATCTGATGGCCATTACTGCATAAGAGCAGGACTTTAGACTAGACCACAGTGTACACTCACAGTTGTTACAACACTTGGCCTTCATAGAAAAGTGCTGTGACACAGTTATCTTTGTGTTTGTATCTTAAAAACAACACTTGATCTGTGTCCTCAGTGAGTGTTAGCAGGTTTTGTTTGATGGGTTGATACTAGAGGGAGGGATGTAAGGCTGTGAGTTGTATTGTTGTGGTCTGCTTCTTGAATAATGCCCACATTGTTGTTGTTTCGGCATTAACGCTACACCACTGACCGGCCATTACTGACGTATTGTTCGCTGCTGAAAAAAAGTGGTCTAAGTGGTTGTGACTGTGTGTGGACTCAGTCTATGCCGGCCATTTTTTAAACTGATTCATTCATCACACACCAACACAAGTCCACTGCACTGGGTATTTCCTACATCTCTCAACTCTCCCCCGATCCTTGAACAATGTGGTGATGGCGATCGAGCTGGCAGTGAGGTGTCCACTGTTTACTGGTTGTCATGGCAGCAGTGAAGAGGCCCCGTTCATAGGTGGCTTAACAGTTATTGAGTCTCATTAAGGCTTAGGGAGGATGCAGAACAGGCCACGAGCAGTGTTGCAAACATTTAAAGAAATGCTCTGAATGTCTGTTTATTCTGTTGTTCTATAACTTTAGTTCATAGTAGGATATGTCTGATACTCTAATGTTGTTGCAGTTCATTTTGTGTTTGTGTCAGAGGTAAACCATCTGATTAATAATGACTAAAACCTCCTCCAGGCAGCACATTCAGGGATTCACTGATAGAAACAAAAGTGAGGACTAGACAAATGTTTTGAACAATCCTTTTCTATACTTAATGTAAATTTAGGAGAATTGTAGTGTTTGGTAAGCTAAGACAAAACCAGCCATTGAGTTATATGGATATAACCCCAGTATGGTGACTATTGTTTATTTTTAGATGTTGGTGAAGTGCACCTCGGCCTACCGCTTGTTGGATCAAATCTCCTCTACTTAGCTTGAGTTGGAGGTAATCAGATGTGATATTTGTTTTTGAAGTGATGATCATAAAGACTCAGAGCCTTTAAAAAATACTTGATCCTGAGAATCCAGGAAATTAAATACAATGATGTCAATGATGAAGCTTTTATGAAATGGTGCCTTGAAAAGAACAGAGTCAACAGTGATTGATTAGCACAAGTTACATTGCTGCTCATGATGTGATATTTTAGTTGGTCATAGGTCATACAGACCTTCTTGAAAGTTGCATCCCGGATATTGTTTCTGATCAAAGCACGACTGGTATTGGAGAAACTGTGAGTCATGCACAGGTGTATCTTGTGTTGCTTGCAAAAGCAGTTGTCAGATGATATTTTCTTGGTTAGAGTGACACCATGTTTGTCCTCGTTAGTCATCTAGAACATTCTTTGTGTATTCACACAAACTCTACAGGGTTTCCAGGTTGTCGTCCATGTAGCGGTGGCACCTTTTCAACCTTTCAGGGTGTGGGTTTGTTTGGTGACGTTGCTCATTGCTCGCTTAGTTTCAGCCCTGAATGGGTCTTTACTTATCAGCTGTAAGGTGGAGGGTAAAGGTATGGAGAGGGACAGGAATGCTTTTATTTGCTTATCCCAGCAGGGACTGGGTGAGTAATCAGTAACCAGTACATGAGTCATCCAACAAGAGAAAAGAAAACATACAGTGTGAAAGTACAGCATGGACAAAGTCTACACACCCAAGCAAGTATCAGAGCAGGAGTTAGGGAGCAATGATCTGAGTCTGTGAAATAATGAAAAAATAATGTAGCTTTAGAGAGATGGGCAAATAATGTGACAGAAGAGACACAATATACAAGTCAGAATGTGCCAGGGTGGTAGAACATGTAAGAAAAAACAATTTCTATCGTGAGCTGAGATCTGCAAGATGAAAGGATTAGATCGAGAGAGACAAAGAGCTGGCAGGTGTAATAAATATCATTTTCCCCAAGGAGCGCAGGGGACAAGTTTTAGAGCACAATCTGATCTGAAGATCATACAAAATCAGCTGCTCCTGCTTTGAATTTCTTTATTTCCACAGACCATGAATTATTCCCCTGCATGCTGCATGTAATTATGAGAGGGAACGACGGCTTCGTAGCACCAGAGTAGGAATGCATGGAGGAGGAACATATTTGTGTCTAATAATAAGAGATGGAAGGATGAAAAGGACAGAGTATTTAAGAGAGGACAAGGGAAAAGGC